AAAAGAGTGCGACTCACCGCATGCCAACACTTCTCATTACAAACAAACACACAAAAGGAAAATCCTAACTCCGACGCACACATTACATATGTGTACATCTTATATCTATGAAAGAAATTCGATTACAGACCTCAAAATGTGTCACGTATATTGATCATCGTTTTCAAAATACCACTTTTTTACTTTTTCTAGGTTTTTTCAGAACGCTAGTGGGTGGACAACGCACAACTACAAACACGAGAGACACATACCGTACTATGTTTAACCAACACGCTCTCCTTATTTTATCTATGTTCACTTTTTTAATGATTTTTTTTGTTTTTAGCTTCCTTTGGTGACGTAAGACTCGCGAAATCGTCTGGAAGCTTGTCATCTTCCTGCAATTTGTAAGTGTCCTTGGCAGCGCTTTATAGGTTTGGTTTTGAAGAGTTTCTTAAAAGTGCTAATAGAATAATAATGTTTGCTATAGTAACTAATTGATACCAGTTTTTCGAAACGGCATTATGTTAAAATATACCTGTTTCTGATGTGGTTCTCGCTTCTCGTATTGAGATCCGTGCGCAATACCGTTAAGTGCTCTATAAATTATTTTTTTAACACCCTGAATTCTGCCAGCTGGAGAACAGGTATAAACCTTTTGGCGTAATTTTAAAGCCGCGTCACTTCTAAATCTGATGTTGAACTTTCTATCTTTTTCATTTCTTTTTCCTTTAAATATGATCCATGTGTCTTCTTTAGGACATATGCTCGTCAAAAAACAATCCAACATATTGATCACTAGCTCCACACAGTATATAGTATGAAAGTGCAACAATAAGCAATATAGAAACGCATAGTCAACTCTTCACGGGCACCCTTCCATTGCTATGGACGTCAGAATAGGCATAGTTTGAACCAAACGACGGCATGGCAGAGTGCATGACGTCAGCGCGTCCCTCTTGCAATTTGCGGTCGTGACGTCACTCTTCAAGCGCGTCCGTCATTACGTCATCAAAATGTGTTGTGCCAACGTTGTGCGCTTAACAAAGCGTGACCGATTCCGTCAGGCGGCGGCGTGAACCACGGTCGCGGCGCGTGCAACTGCCAAGTGTGCAAAATTACAAGATTTTTAATTTCGTTATACACGGCCGACGTGGCGGTTCTGGCGTGCGGTCACGAAGTTCGTGCCCATCGTAGGCTCTCAAACGAAAGGAAAGGTTGGATCATTCATAAGCTCGCTCATGAATTCCTTGCCCCGTTTTGTTTGTTTTTAATGACGTGTTTTCAAAGGTGCGGTTTCGAACGGAAAAATAATGAAAACATGTCGCTCTGCAAAAGTGGAAAGTCCGAAGGGCTCTCCGGGAGGAGTTTGTCCAGAAGTATATAAACATCAATTCAATTAAAGAATAAAATACGCATGTTTTTCAGCACTTTTAAGAGACACGAACTTGCAGGTGAAATTTCTCGACGGAGACCGAGGTGACGAAGAGTAAAAACAAAACACACACGAAAGGTCTCGTGTTTTGCTTGTTTTATTTTCGTTTCCGTGTTCGTCCTTTCTCTTGTTTTTGGCAAGGTTGCAAGCTTTCTTTTCCTTATACTATATCTCTGTTCAAATATCGAATATTTGAGCACCCTTAGAAAATGAACGAACCGTGTATGCGAAACGTTCGTTTGCATTTTTTTTTCCTTTTCTTTTTTTCTGTTTTGTCGTTTTCTTCGACGTTGTACGAACGTGCGCCATCACTGCTGGGCACTTCCACTCCTCCTACACCGCAGAGCTCGGTGCGCGCTCTGCAGAGCGCAGTTCTTGCGTCACACATTCCCACGCATCGCTGAGTCTCGGAGCGAAGAGGCTCGGCCGTATAAAATATCCGCAGAATAGGCAAGAAAGAAAAGCGGCACCACAGCCGCCTCCTCCTCTGATGTCTGACTCACGACGTTAGCGGCGGCAGCAGCGAACGCGCAGAAAAGCCGCACGCTCACTCCACAAAACACAAACGGAACAAGAAACTGAAAGCAGGCGGCAAGTCGCCAGACGGCCGCGTAGAGAGCGCAGATTTAGGAGAGGAAGCAACTAGAACCACGGGGGGGCGTTTGCCAGCATTAATGACAGACGCATCTTGGGTGGATTGAGTCGCTAGTGCGCAAGCGTGTGTTGCCGTGCGGCGAGGAGGATGGGAGGCAAAGAGGTTTGAGAAAAGCTTGGAGACGCTTGCAGAAGATCGACGATTTCGTCTAGTTTTTTTTTTTTTTTTTTTTCTTTTTTTTCAGTTATAGCCAGTTTGTTCTGCAAACGCGACCCGTAAACCACGTGACCTAGATCAAGCAGTTGTAAACACTCTCTAATATAGGCACACTGTTGCTGCGGCACGGCCCGGCGGCTAGCAGACTTTTTGTGCTGCCAAAGTGCTTTGCCCGAAGAGAGAGATGAGCTTGGTGGAGAAGCGTTCACGCGTCGGAGATTTGTGGTTCTCGTTCGGTCGTGTTTGTGTGTGGCGATTTCCTCTTTGAGAAAAATAAATAAGGAGAGTAGATGGCGTGTTTGCGCGCTTTTATGTCTTGTGGTTTAAACCGTTCAGGAAACGTGTTTTTAAACTTTCGTGTTCTCTTTTTGGACTTTTGAAGTTTGTTTTGGGGGTCCTATGGCGAGGTACACTGGCTGCGTGCTTAGATTTCTGACTAAAAGCAAAAATAAATCATCCTTTTTAACCTGCTTGTGGCGTGTATACTCGTTGTCAACACCTGGGCGAGATCTGTTGCTGACAAAGCGGACACTAAACTAATTTCAAGGTCAAACTTAACATTTCGGCAATTAAAGAAAAATGAGATTACTGCTATAACCAGTATACGCAGAAAGAGGAGGAGGAGGGGTGGGTCCCCCTTTCTCGCTTTGCGCGATCGAACCAGTCAAACCCACAGCTAGACCCGCCGCCCCCCCCCCCCCCCCCCCCCCCCCCCCCCCCGAAAATAAATTCGGACTACGCACAAATGTCACGAACTTTGATACTCGAACAATTCTTCTTGATTCCTTTTGCAGTTTTTACACCCCGATGGATGGGTGAATGATAGCGGCTGTTACCCTTTGTAACACTGATAACCATACGTAGTCTCAACCTGTCAAACCGCGTCCGGAAAACAACAATCGACTGATCGCACGTCACATAGTTCGATAAATCGCCGCCGCACTGGCTGCCCTGGCCGCACCAGCCGTATCTCCCGCCGTTGGAATTTATTCCCTTCCCTGCGTCCCCTGTCTTCAAAAGAATCGTTGCGATTGGCCGCGCCGAGTCACGTGGCACCGTCCCGAGATGCGATTGGTCTAGCGGCACCTTGAACGACAACGCGGCGCGGCGGTAGGCCGGTAGACGTTGACAAGAGTTTCGCCGGTCGCCGGTTTCGCCCAGTTCCACATGCAGAGCCGGTGGTGTGGCGGAGGCGCGTCGATTGTGTCATTGTGTTTTCCGTTGGTTTATGTTGTTCGCGTGACGGGGGCTCGATAAAGTGTCTTCGACAGTTCTCGAGAAACTCCCCTTTTGTGCCAGCTTGGAGCTGGAATTCGGACACGGCCGCTTGACCACCGAAATCAGCCGTGAGTAACTTTGTCGTACCACCTCTTGTTTTGCGGACGCAAGTGCAACTCGTGCGACTTTCTTTCGCACACTTGACATACCTTTGTTTCGTTTTCTTTTTGGCGCGTGACAGTTCTTGTTCGGGGGTGAAAGTTCGTGCTCGCTCGCAACTTGTCAAATGCACGAATTCGTCGAGGACTGCGGAATGTGTCGTATCGGTGACATGCAACGCGACGGCGGGAGGTCTTCCGGTGGTTTTCAGATCGGCCCGATGACTCATAATTCGTTGTCGTGCGGATAGGTCTGTTGTCGGTTATCTCGGGTGGCCTTCGCAGGCGAGTGGCACTTATCGTTTATATTTCGCTGCACGGAATTCAGATCGTAATCTGCGAATAACGAGAGATACAGGGAAACGAATATTAAAATAATGGGGCGGTGAATGGAAGGCAGTTATAATTAGATGCGTGAAAGATCGGGAAGTGCCGACACGGTTGGCCTATTTTTAATCCGCGTTTGAAACAATACTGCGCCTTCACTCGCCGAATCATTGGACCGTAGCGCGCCTCGTTAAGAAAATAATTTTAAAACAAAATGCGTCTGGGAGCGCTCTTTGACGTGACAGTGAATTCAGCCTATTTTAATTTACTTGAACAGCCTGAAAATCTTTCACGCAAATTCGTCTGGTAGAAGCGGTATGCAATTACGTACGGGTAATCGAATAAAGGAAAAGCAAGAAAAAAAAGTAAAACGCACGAAAGCTTGTGTTTTTGTTTGCCAGCTGCCATGACCTAATCTCTTTTTATTTTTTTTTTTTTTACTATTCTCTTTTTGTTTGACAGATGTCGAGCAGATATTAGGCAGACACACTGGCCTCTGCTTGCGTACCGAGGAAAATAAATAAAATTGAAAAGTGTGGAGATGTCGGGTGATTCGGAACATCTGTGCAATGCATTTTTAGCTCATCGTTATAACTCGGTATTTTTTTATGTTATCTTTGATTATACGTAAGACTTGTGTTTACAGAAAGTTATTTTGTTCCTGATACTGTATATGAAACTAGCTTTGGGCTAGTTGGTCCCTACTAATTAATCTGTTGAAAAAGCGCGAACGAAACGAGGACACGGGCGTTTCTTCTGTGTCTTCGTTTAGTTCTCACTTTTTAAACTTTTTTAATTAAATTTGTAGAGTTACATGTTTTTAGAGTTAATTTTTCGTAAAATTTAGAGTTTTTTTTTTTTTATTATTATTCGTTAAAAATTTGCGGTTTATCGGCGTTTGTGTTTGTTACGAATCAAAGTTAAATTTTACCGCGTTCCCAAGTTCTTTTTTTTTTATTCGAAATAAAAATGTCTGCAAAAACACCCTTATAATTAATATAACTCTGGTATAGAAAAATATTTCTGCAGCTGCATTTGGCACTACAAATCTTGCAAACAAGTGTTGCTTAAAAAAAAAGCATGAGTATTTTGAAAAAAAGAAAAAAAGCTAGCGCATGTCTTTGGGAAGCATAAAGGCTTCAGAGCAGCCCTCCTCCCTCCTATGAAATCTAGTTTCATATAAAACTAAGAAGCACAAGTAGTATGGACTCCAAATTGGAAATCAAAACAGTGGCTTGTCTCCTGGCCCAGAAATACATTTACCCCTTTGTCCAAAAAACAATCTGTTTTAACAAAAAAAAAAAAAAAAAAAAATTGGCCCTTTTTTTTTTTTTTTTTTGAGAATATTGATCTTGTGCTCTGACAAAATTGATCAGTAAAATATTATCTTTTTTTGCTTCTCATTTTGCTGTCGTGTGGAAATCCAGAATATTCCGGATAAATCCGAATCAATCCAGATGTCTTATTTTGGAGCTTTTCTTTTTTTGATTTATTTGAAAACACCGAACCTATACTTATATGCTGACCCAATCACCCACTATATCAACCCGCACCCTTGCCCAAAAGCTCCATTTCAGCTTCTATTTCAACATCGTGGGCACCTGCATCTCGTCACATCATCATATTTTTCTTTTTTACACCCTGTCCCACCCCACCCTTTTTTTTCCTGTTTCTCTCGAAGCACAGTGAACATTCTCAGTACGGGTGTAACGCCTATTTCACTGTGACCTTACTCTCCCGAGTTAAATAAATAAACAAACAAACAAATCTGTATCAGCATTTTACTTTTCTCTTTGTTTTGTTTTACCTCGGGAGTATACATATTTCTTTGGTTAAATATAATATAAAATTTAGCAAGGAAAACTTTGCAATTTGACACAATTGGGCACTATATTAATGAACAGAAAGAACACATACAATTGTATCAAAGCTCTTTTAACTCTAATGCTGTTTTTAATTAAATATGTATTATTATTATTGCAAATATGTCATAGAGTGTAGAGCTTTGATTGTACTGCTCATATCTATATAAATTGCCTAAGAACTGCCTCTTCATTGCAAATAAGTGGACTAAGTAACTTTTTTCTTGTTTGTTATAGTTTAATGTTTTTAATAGCAACAATTAGCTTCAGATTGGTGGTCCAGCCCATTTGATATTTATTTAAGCTCCGGGAGAGCCGCGGCACCACAGTAAAGTAAGTTTCCCACACTGAAGGCCTGTGGCGCCGTGAAAGTTACGAAACAAATCCAATAAATTATGCCCTCTTAGGGGAAGAGCAACTTAATTACGAGTAATCATTGATGCATGAAAATCGTAGCGATGTGCACTTTACATTTTTTGCCACACAGAGTGCGAGTGGCTGCATTTGCTCACTCTAATATACCTTTTGAGTTACGGTGACCACTCACAAAGCAACAACCTGAGTATGGTTGTTGCATGATGCTGCCGCATTTTTAATTACTTCTTGACGTTTCTGCTTCAAGACAGGTTAATTAAAAAAAACATATGTAAGACGTGAAGCTTTGGAGTTTTGTTTTGCATAACTAGAAAACATCCCAAAACCCTTCTTCATGCTCAATAAGCTTTATTAACTTGAAGTGAATTACAAGGTCACTAATAGAATTTGTACCTTTAGTCACAGTAGAAACAGTTTTGGTTAAAAGTATGAGCACTTCAGTGTGCTTTCAAACTACAAATAAACAGTTGTGCTTTTGAAGTCACACACACAATTGTACGTTCAAAGTACTTAAACAATTGTACTTTTAAAGTACACATACCTTTGACAGAGCAACTGTTTGTAATACCTACTTTCTAAGAAACAAACCAGTGTAGTAAAAGTTGACTGCCAAAATTTCTTAGCACCAGGATGCCGCTTTCGTTTTGGAAATAAGGCCTCTGATGATCGGGCAAAGACGTTCTTTTATCGCAGGCTGAATTTAAAATATGTGCTTCAAAGTCGTCCCGTGCTCCCTAAGCAGGCGCATAGCCAGGGGGGGAGGGGGGGGGTGGGCATGGGGCCCGGCTCCCCCCCCCCTAAATCTTCCATTTTGCTGGGACCCTCCTCTCCCCCCTCCCCCTCATACAGCATTTTGTCATGCCCCCCCCCCCCCCCCACAAAAAAAAAAAAGGGAAAAAAAAATTCCTGGCTATATGTCTGTCCCGAAGTGTACTTGGAGTAAGGTTGAATACCGCACTGCTGCTGTGAATATTTTCAAGCACTGAATAGGTGACTGAGAGCAAACTATGCTTGTTGTCACTTAAAGAAAAGAAGGGTTTGCACATAATTTGTGCACTTTGCAAAGTATTTCTTAACAAGATTTTGTTGTCAAAGGAAGGAATGATGCTCTTGGCATCTAAAATCTAAGTATTGATAAAATTGTATTAAACTAAACTGACATGCCCCAACATATATGTTAATTAATTCGACGCATGAAAGGGGAAATTAGTAACGTTCCACAAAGGAACCAAACTTTTTTTACTACAGTGTTTGAGGTGAATGAGTATGACAATGCACTTTCTTCATAATTAACTGTGTCCATGGGCGTACCAACCGGGGGGGCAAGGGGGGCACTTGCCCCCCCAGTTCTCAGAGTGGGGGGGCAAGGCATGCGTTTTGCCCCCCCCTGAAACGGCCGCCACTGGGCAGAGCAGACACAGGCCGGCGGCGCCCAAGGAATACCAAGGGCACTGCCCCCCGACCCGTGCGGGCATATTTTTAATGCGCAGGCGATACAAACCCTAGCAACGGTGCTCACGCACGCCGGATTGGCTGGTTCGTAAAGCCTTGCTCCACGAACAAGGCTACACAGTAACCTTACGGAATCCATCCGCGAGACATGGGCCGGACGGGCCGTCCAGACCAGGACGTAGGCCCTTACACAAAATAAAGTTTTGCTTGCTTGCTTGGAGATAGGCGCTGCCGCCGTCAACATAGGCAGCGGATGCAATGCGAGTTTCCGAAGAGGTAGCGTAACTTAGTGGTGAGATGTCTGCCTCATACGTGTCAGACCCGGGTTCTATTTATGGTGCGGGCCGGCTTACTTCTTTTTATCTTTTTTCTCGAACATTTTGTTTTGTCGAGGCATTTGGCGATATTTACATTTCTTTTTTACCATTAACACTAAAAAAACGAATGTTGTTGACGAAACATCGCCAAACTAAATCGTATCGACTCTATTTACGGAAGTGCATGGGGGGCAGCGGGGCTTGGGTTGCCGACCGGACGCCGCAAAGCGGCGTGTACGGGGGGTGGGGGGGCTAGGTGGGTTAATAGATTTGTAATTAGCAGCCGCACACCGTCACCGCGAAGCGGCGTGAACGCAGGCGCGGGGTGGGTTAACGCGCTTCGAGTGATACACGAGCAGCCCATCCGGCGTGAGCGTCGTTGTTAGGGGTTCTATCGCCTGCACCGTAAAAGGAGCAGTGTGTGCACCTCCTGTAGTGGGCAAGAATTCCTACATTGGAGAGAAGCGGGGACAAGCCCTTTCTTCAAATGCGTCAAGTCTCCTTGAGCTTCGGAATACAAAGAAACGCCACTATTCGGAGCTAATCCCACAGTTACTCGACCTCTCTTGCGTCGTGTCTGTTCGCTCCCCGCGCCTCGTAGCAGTGTTGTTGCAGTGGGGGGGGGCTCGTTAAAATTTTGGGGTTTTTTGGACTATCTTAATCACTTTCTTCCTTCCCATCCCCCCCTTTTCTACTCCGCATGCCTCCCCCTCTGCAAATATCAGCTGACCTTCCGACCTCTGTTCTCTGTTGATAGGCAAAACAACCGCTAAAATTAGAAAGTAATTTGTAATTTGAGTGGAAGTCGCTCGGAAAAGTAGTTAAAGTAAACTACTGATTACTAGAATAGAAATGTAATTAAAAGTTACTAAACTACCCAGAAAAGTAGTTAAACTACAGTAACTTGAGTAAAGTAGTTGAACTACGTACAAGTCTGGCCTGGCAAGCGCTCTGCGTAAGTGTTTTCACTGATCTGCCTAGCCCCGCACACCATCACATGGGCCAAGAAAGGTGTAGTTTTACTGCAGAGGAGAAATCAGCAGGGTCCAAGATGATGACAATGGAGGATGGGGGACTGTTCCAGTGGCTGATGGCTTGAGAAAGGAATGACCAATTGAAAGCGTTCGTAGAGCCAGAAGTGTGTTTGATGGTGCAGACGTTGTTGAGGCGAGAAGATGTTCGGTCGAGGGGTAATAACAAAGTGGTTTTGAGGTCGGGAATGTGGTAGTAGATTTTGTGAATAAGGCACAGCTGAGAGACTTTCCTGCGAAGCTGCAAAGAGGACATGGTTAGTTCAGTTTTTAGCGCCGAGACACTGAAAGAAAAGTCATAAGTGGATGAAATGAAGCGAGCAGCTCTGTTCTGAACTGCCTCTACAGCGTATTGATGAGGTACAGTCGATGGGTATTCCAGATGGTTGAAGCATATTCTATTTTTGGTCTGACGTACGTGTTAAAGGTTAGCTTAGGGACAAAGGGTGGAGCGATTTTTTAAGTTACGTCTGCTTAGTCCAAGAGTTCCAGATGAATCGGCGGTAATGACTTCAATGTGGTTATTCCAGGGAAGGTCAGATGTTAGTCTTACACCAAGGTATTTATACAGAGTAGCGGTCTCAATCAGATCGGAGTCCAAGAAGTAATTAAATGACAGAGTGTTTTTTTTTTCTTGGTGAAGTGGATTAGTTTGCGTTTATACTTGTTTGGTGACATAATCCACTCTTTGCACCAATTGTTAATTTTATCTATAGATCTTCCTGAAGCTGGTTATTATTTTGCACACAAGTTACTTTGTTATGGATGACGCAGTCGTCGGCGAAAAAGCATTTTTTTTGAAGAAATCCCAATGGGAATGTCATTAATAAATATTAAAAAGAGTAAGGGCCCAAGTACGAACCCCAGGGGAACACCAGGAGATACATTTATTAAGGAAGATTCATGATCATCATGGACGTGACCTGTACACGGGAAAAAAGAAAGTCACGAATCCATGCAAACGGTTATTGGTCGAGGCAAAAAGATGATAGCTTAGAAAGAAGGCGTTGATGGAAGACACGGCCGAACGCTTTGGAAAAAAAAAAAAAAACTGCGTCAGTTTGGACGTGACATTCAAGGTTAGTGTGCAAGTCATGGATGAAGTCGCAGAGTTGCGTTTCGCAGGAAAGTACCTTTTAAAAACCGTGCTGCTGTTTAAAGAAAAGAAATGGGATGATAGGTGCCTCATGATATTGGAGTAGAGGATATGCTCAAGTAGTTTGCAAGAAATTGAAGTCAATGAATTAGGGCGATAATTAGATGCGGAAGAGCGGCTGCCCTGTTTAAAGACTGGGAATTACCCTTCCCACCTTTTGGTCAGATGGAAGGCAGCTTTGAGATGAGGACTGAATGAAGATGAGTTTCAAATACTCACTAAAAATAACACGGGTGTTTCTTTTAAATTTTTGGGTTGATGTTATCGGTTCCAGCGGACGAAGTAAGTTTTAGTTTATCAATCAATGTTTTAATACCAGCGGAGTTAACGTTAATAGGATGCATGCGCTCGTAAAGCTCTTCAGGGAGAGTGGGGACGAAGTCCAAGCACTCGTTAGTAAACACTGATGAAAAGTATTCGTTAAACACAGAACTATCATGCTCGACGTTGCACATCCGACATTCCTAACTCTCCCCATCTTCCTAAACGTCCGTGTGTGTCCTAACACCAGAAACCGGAATTTTAAAGGTTAAAAACGGCACGTTGCGAATATGGAACGCGCACTTTCATGCAAAGCTGACGTCAAGTGACTCAAATCGAAAAACATGCATATTTACAGTATTGTTATCTCTTCTGGTGAAGGCTAAACAACCGTTGCATCCGTTTTCGCGCACGAAACGGTGACTCCCAGAGAAAGTAAGAACGCAGTGATTGTCTTTATTTTAACAATGTAAACACACTTGTAGGCGTGCGCTGATGAAGCCTCAAAATCAAAACTCTCGTTGTGTGATTCGTGACTGCTCCGGCTACTACCCAACCTCGTTGTCACGCCACTTTCTGCAAGCAAACACTAAAATTGCCAGTAAACACACAAAAGCGACATCGATACAATTATCTTGTAGAATATCACCTTATTTAATCATAACTGTTTCAATAGGCACTACAAGTTGTATTTATTTTAAGAAGAAGCAAAATTTTTTTCGTGAGAAAAAATAAAATATCAATGTTAAGTCTGGTAACGTTGTAATTTTGCCGAATCATTGCCACATCTTTAGAAAACTTCGACAAAAGTTGCGCCGAATTTTCGATTAAGGGGGGGGGGGGGGAAGAGGGTCGGGTTTGCCCCCCCACTCAAAAACAAGTTGGTACGCCACTGACTGTGTCAGTATGCGTGATGACCCATGGTTCCCAAATAAAATTAGCTTGCCTCCATCCTCTCATGTCTGTCATATCTTTTTTATAAAGTTGCACCTTAATTCAATGAAAACTTTTTTGTGTGTGTGTGACCTATTAATGATAGTTACAGTTCTGCTATTTGTGTTCACATTTTGTAAGCTTTTTGCTGGATCTTTTTTAAAACACAACCCATGTAATATTGTGCAAAGCGTTTCACCTAAAAATTTTAATTACTTTTTTTTACTTTTTCTCCTCTCATTAGCACTAGCGGTTCGAACCAGATGCCAAACTTTCAGAGCTTGCCGTTATCTTATTCAGAAGTTAGAAGTGAGTTTACGAAATTTTCAATGGGAAAATGTGTCCCATTCCTAGTAGATGCATTCATCTCCAGATGTTTGCGATATTCCTCGGCTACCATTTTCTCAGCAAAGATTTGTACAACTTTTTAAAATGACGATTGCTGTGAAACTTTGGCATCTGGTCTGAATCGCTATGCTCTGTTCACCTTTAAGCTACATGCTCATTGGGCCAGTCATACGTTTATCTTTCACCCCGCGACAACTTTCTGCCCGTACCCACGGGCAGAAAGCGAGCTCGGGTGATGAAAAAGAGGTGGTTAATCGGTCTGGCGAGGGTGTAGCTCCCACCGCACTGTCAGCTTAGAGCTGAATGGAGTATAGCACTACATTTGGACGGAGACTGAGCGTTCGGAGATGCATAGTTTGTTTGCAGTAAAAAAAAAAAAAAAATTCTCACCCTCAAAAAAAAGAAAAGAAGAAGATAAAGCGATAGATTATGTTTACTTGCTGTTACACGAAGGTTGCTTAATTTCTCGCACACCTTTGGCATTGCAGGCTGTCCAGAGTTTGCGTCGCCGCAGACATGTCTGCCTCGCGGCTCGAGCAAATGAGGGCGGATTTCCAGGACCGCCTCCAAGTCCGTAGCGGTCTGCCCAGACCAACCCGCACCGGAATCCCAACCCCAACGCCGGCCGGCAGAGCCGCTCCCGCCAAATCTGCGTCGACGACGTCTCACATGAACGGGCACGGTTCCGCAAGACTGCAGCCGTCCAGTGTCAATGGGGACAGCTTGTGTCACAACGGCAGCGCGACAAAGAGTGACGCTTTCACCGGCCAAGGTTGGTGGGGGCGTGTCTATTTGGGATCAGTCTACTCCAGTGTTTGTTCTGAACAAGGACATCCCTGTGCCCTTGTTACACGTTGCAATCATTGTATCCACCTTACGTCTCTTCGTACTGAAAAATTAATTTCGCTAGAATACTGGCTAACACACTTGCGTTTGTTTACGACCGAGTTCTTGTGATCTGTTACGACGAGAGAACACAGTGGCACGCTGGTGTCGTCTGTAAGATGGCCCTGGAGCTGCAATTCGCTAGAGCAAAGGTTTTGCATTATTTCCGAGATCAAATATAGTACACCAACTCAACTCTGTTATGTCACGTTGAGGTGGAGGCGCTTCGGGTGTACTTGGTCTAGGGGTGTGGGCGGAAGTCGCCATGTGGGACTGGCTTTCCAGTGTTGTTTTGGAACAAGCCAGACTAAAGCCTGCCATCCCATCAAAACACCACAACAGGGGCTGTGCCAGAAGAGCCGGCAAAGCTGTGGAGATAAGTTTTCACATGCTTTCTTTCCTCTCGGTTCATCCGAGAACGTGGATAGGTGCTGTGAAAAGGAAAGCCAGACACCTTCAGAACACGATTGCTCGTGCGGGAAGCACTTTGCGTTGAATTCATGGATACTTGTAGTCGTCAGATTTATTTGTTTCGTTCCAACACGGACGCGGGAGAATGGTCAAATTGTCCAGGCAACCTGTGGACCACATTCAGTGCGTCTTCACGTTCAAACTGTCGTCTGCTCTTTCAAACTTGTTGAAATTGACACCTGCTCATTCAAACGACGGCGGCCAGTAGACTAATTGTCGCGAAACGAGTAGGTGCAGGCCTCAAAAGACTTAAGTTTGAAGGTTGCTTGGGGTAAGTAGGCTCGGTGTAAACAGTTGATACAAGACGTTGATCAGTTATCAGTGGCCATCACGGACTTGTTACGTCAGAGTCTATTTGCGATTTTCAGTATCGACGTCGAAGGTCACATTACCGTCTATGCTTTTGCAGCCAGAGCGACGTTGCGACCGAAAATCGCGAGTGGAATCTCATCGCGTGGATCGGGTTTTGGCGTCCATTATGCGGCTTTCACAGGGAATGGAGAATGAATCTCCATGCATCATGTCATTTACGCAAAGTTTTGCGTTTTAACCACCCTCCTTAATATCGCTCGGGCCACTGAAGTGGTGAAACGTTGCTAAAAAGTCGTAAAATCTACAATACCAATGCCAAAATAAAGAGCATGGGAATTTGCACAATGTCGACAACATCACATTCCAATGGTTTTTTGACACAGGACGCAGCGCTTCTTGCCCGCACCAAGGGCACTCAATTTTTTTTTTTTTTTTTTTTCATACATGAATTGGTGTGTTTTGAGAAATAGTTGTTTATAAGGTAACCAAAATTTTTTCAAGCAAACAAAAAAAAAAAAAAAAAAGCCCTTAGGCAACAAGAATGACAATTGGATTTGATCACGCAAGGAGACTCTGATTTGATAGAGTGAGGGAAATTGAGATTCCATCGCGCACCAAATTGACCCTTCCCGCCAGAAATCTGATCCGATCGCGCAACTCACCGTAGAATACGCCAAATGAACTTTCCCTGCTTCAACAATAACCTGAGTTGTAATTGCCAAAAATGAAGCATTTGTGTGAAACTAAGCGTACAACATCTGTGCGTCTCCCTTCCCTCGGCGATAATGCTTGAACTCAAGAAAGTGCCCTGTGCTGTGATACAGTCTAAGCTCGTTTATAACAAACCTTGGTTTTGACCAAGATTTCAATCTGTTGTAAGAGGAGTATGTTGTTTGCAGATATGAAGGTGAGTCAATGGTATGTAGAGGCAAACCAACCAAACTTCACAAATCTGTATGTTATATCCTAACGTCTGTTGTACTGAGCTTAGACTGTATTGAGCAGGGCATTTATGCACGCTCAGAATCCCAGTCTTACCATGCTCCCAAGGGCTGGTGTAGTCAGTGCTTCCTCGGTTGCTGTTGTGCAGGAAAGTAAACTTTTAGACTTTGTTCATAAAACACATGTAGAGGATACTAATAATCTACTTTTTGTTTTTTTTTGAAGGGGGGGGGGGGGGGGGGGGGGGGGGACAATTTACTGGACAGTAATATTTTGATCTACAAACTAGAGAACAAATATATCTGCTACATCAAAAAAAGTAACTCACCATACAGAGGCATGAGAATGCTGCCATCTTGTGCTTGAAGCATGCAGCTCCACATACATTAAATTTTTCTGTTATAAACGGTCAATAGTTCACATAATCTGGAACGAAAGCAAGCTACAAATTATTTCACTTTGTGGTGTTATTGTTCTTAAAAAAAACAGGTGTATTTACAGACATATTTACCATACTGATCCATTACTGCATGTTGTCTAGGGGTGTGATGTTGTAGGACGTGTTTTGTGCAGAAGCGAGATGTGGGACCGTTTCGAACTAGTGGATAATCATTTTAATCTCCAACTTCTTTTCCTCTCCTAAGGATTAAAGCGCACATCTCTCTTGTTGCAGTGACTTATATGTAGGGTTTTATGATTTCGGAGTTTATTTTTCCTTACAGATTCGGTACCAATTTTTGGTGTTGTCAACATAAGCCCCGATAAATCCCCCCCCCCCCCCCCCCCCCAAAAAAAGATTTCTCTAGACTTGTGACGAAAAAAATGGGGCACTGGCACGGGATTCCTCAAATTCCAGGGAACCTACGCAGACCCGAACGTGTGGAAAACGTCCCTGGACTGATAAAAAAAAAAAACTAAATGAGATAGGCTGTGTGGTTCCGAAGCAAGAAGCCTCGTGGAAAGTTCATTCTAGACTGCGTTCAGGGTCAACAAGAGATAAAGCTGTAGACAAAAATTCTTCCTTTAAAGCTTTGTTTCTTTTTTTTTTTTTCCCCTTATTCTAGGACAGGTTTAATTTGGGGTTTTGGGGTTTTCCCGGTTTTTACGAAACTGGCTCGGGAGTTAAATTTTGGGGGTTTATCAGCATTAATTGAAAATATGAAACCCTACTGATATGGCATGCCTGGTATGTGTACTGTGGTCACAATATATATGGGGAGGCATGGAGTTTCAGCATCGCCAGTGAATTGAATAGGAAATATAATCCTCACAGCTAGATTAAATTGCAGCTCGTGTAACGGTTATAAAGGAATGCATAAAGTTTCACCATTCTATAAGGTGCATCGACGAAAATTTTTGAAATAAACCGTGGCTTGTACACACCGCAAAATACAGTAGTCTTCTAGCATCAACTTCAAGAGGATGCGTGCCCTCTTGCAGACGTCACGCAACGAGAGGACTGCAACAGATGCTCCCGAACTGCGTTTGTGTGAGAATGGGGAGTTTCAGGGAACCGTGTTTGCACATCCGAGATGGTATTAATACACCGATATCACTAAGCATTCGGCGCATGCGTGGCGCCGCCATAACTTTAGTTTACAGGAGACAGACGGCCGTGCTTGCAGAGGCTCGTGCCGTCGTCTCGTGTTCTACACACGCAGAGCTCCAGCGAGGTTGTCGCACGTGCAGAAAGACTGAAGTTCCCTCGATGCATTGTGGCTGCGGTGGCATAGTCAAACTGTCTGGTGAGATCGGCCTATTAGACCCTCCAGTAGGAACTGCGCTTATGAGAGCCTTCTGTTGTAGTGCATGTGCACCCAGGCAAAAATCAGTCCACTTTCAGCTGGATTGTGGAACTGGAGGTGGACTGATTTTCGCATGTGCAGCGCATACCGGAGGGCCCATCGTACCATATGTGATGTGCAAAAACAGTTCCCTAAAACTCCCTAACATTGTTACGCTGTTGTCCAAAGGCTGGTTCACACATTTGCATCCAGCTCCAACAAAGTTCGTCGTGATCTATTGTAACCGTTTAAAGCACTGGCACCATTTATCGAGTGGACCTGGATCACCTCTTGTTTTATGTATATCTTATCATTTTTTATGCATCATTCTTTAACCCTATGCTTGAAATAATTATGAGAACGTTGGAAGCGACTATTTCTCGTAGAAACTGCATAGATTTCATCTCGCAAATACTGCAAAACCTTCAGTCTGGTTACTCGGGTTGGAAGTGTTCAAATGCAAATGGTGCGCAAACCATCCTTTTTGGTGATTCGAGCTGATTCTCTCCGATCCCTTCCGCAGCAGCCAAAACGGCTTCCACGCCGACCTCCAATGGTGCGCCGCTGTGTCCTAGACCCGGCACTGCAAACGGATCGGCGCGGCCAGCGTCGGCCTCGAAGTTGTCTGCTCGGCACGTGCCGCCTCTCGCCAAGGGGGGCGTCCTCATGACCATGACAACGACGCAGCTCCGAGCTCTTGCCGACGGTCACGGAAACACCTGTGGCGTGAGTATAAGCTCCTTACGAATGCAAATTCTTATTTTCAAGCAAGTTATATAAGGTGCACATAGTTTTGCTTACCAACGAGCCTCTTGTTTTGCACATAGTTGTGTTTTACGAATTCTTAAATACATCGGCCTTTTACGTTGACTTGAACCTGTGGACGGTTGTTGCCATAGATGTATGGCGCCGATTATACATTAAAAAGTGACCACCTAAACGTAAAACTGCACACACCATGTCGAGGCTTTGCTATTTGTTATGCATTTGGCGAACTACGAGTGTTACAATTGAGACGTTTTGCTTTGCTGGGGTTATTTATAGCTTTGAAATTGAATGGCTCCACGCTTGTGACACGTACAAGATGATCACTTTGTATGTTGTCTGCTCTGGCTTTGTGGCAGTATGAGTGCTGGCTCTTCCGATTAAAATTTCTAACACTTCTCAGAATTGAATTTGGAGAATGAGAGCTTATTGCCCAATGGAAAAGCTTTCTAAAGTACCTCTGGTTTGGAATTTGAAGTCACTGGAATGTTGCAGAAGCAAACGCATCAAAATAAAAGATTAAATGGGAGGAAGGTGACAACTTTTCGTCTTCCATATTTTCAATTGATGCTTCTAAACCTGAAAAGTTTGCAAGCACTGTACGTGCTCCCGCTATATAAAAAAAAAAAACAAAAAAAAAACTGTGCATTGACCTTTTCTTTGTACTATTTCTTTGGAAACAAGACTCGGTTACTAAGAAATACCTTTTTGAAAGAAAAGAAAAGAAAAATCTTGTTTTGTCCTCTGATTGCATGTTTGTCATACACTTTTTGCACAATTCATGTTCATAGTTTTATGTTACCACCAGCTACTCTTCTTTCCCCATTACCGCTTTTTGCGATAGTCGGTGTATGTTACTCACCATAGCCATAGATATGCTTCTGCCCCATAACACCACATGCAGTCCTCCAAACGAGCAAATGACAAGAGGAAGTGTTTTTATATCTATTTTTGTTTTCATCTATAAGTTGCAAGCTGCTTGATTTCCAATTTTTATACTCTGGAGACGTGCTTCTATTTAGTTAACATCGATTCAAAGCCACTTGACTAATGATTTACAAGTGTTTGGAAAAGCTTTCCACGAACAGAGTTAGTTTTGTGATGAAGCAAGAAAGTTTTTTTTTTGGTTTCTTGACAACACAAAGTTCTGCCCTGGTACCTTCAGGTCTGGAACTTCTTTGATCTGATTAATTATTGTTTTATATATGTTAAATACCTCATAAATCGGAGTGCAACCAGGACTAACAGTTCTAAAAAATGTCTACCATAGGCAATTAGAAAAACCTGGAGAGCGCACAAAACAAAGCTTCGAAACATGAACCAGACTCGTGGTCGGACTTTCCTTGGACGGCGCGAGAGGCACTTATGATTGTAATAGCCAAGAGGTTGAGTCGGTGCCAACTCAGCTCTATGATTACTTCCCTCAGCTTTTGAAATGTTGCTTTTTGCTGCTCTCTGCGATTTTCTTCGCCAAAGATCTTTCGAGATTGACCGGGACTTCTATTCCCACTGAGGAAGTGGAAAATCCGACATGCACTTAACTAAGCCACTTTCTGAAAGTATTTTCTTTGGAACTTCCCTGATCTTTTCGATGCAGAAAGAATTAAGGAAAACATAAGCCTAAGTTTAAAAATTTGTTGGAAAAGGGTTTGTGGTTCTAGAAATTAATTATACACCCTTACACTAAATTTCATAACCATGTGCCGAATAGTTACGTTGATATAAAATATTTTCAACACATTGTGAGTCACTAACGAAGTAAGGAGTTCAATGTTTGAATGCATTTTTCTCAGTTCCACTTTTTGCTGCAAATTTCATACAAAGGAATCTTTTGTTTGAGGGTAAAATTTTTCTGATACCACAATCAAGATGTTTGTGAACTGAAATTTACTGGGGAATCGGGCTATCTATTTTATTTTGTTTTAAGTTAGTCCTCATTGAGAAAAAGCTACGTTTTCAAAAATTTACATAGGACAGTTATGCATCTCATATTTCGAGGTAATCACTCTTCCTGAATTATTTACATTTGAGTTCTAAAACTAGATAGCCTGAAGTCCCACACCCCCCTCTTTATATTCAAGCTGTTAAAATGATGCTTAATAGCTTCATTTGCATATCATAGATTTCCTAACGAAGAGTGACACATCTTCTTATGCAGGTATGCAAAGTTGTCCCTGAGAGCTGAAAGGTTGCATAGTACCCCTTCATCTGAAGTTAAATCTCCCCTGAAAATTTCATTCTGATCTCTTGAGTAGTTCAGAAGTTCAACCTCTAGCCAGAGTCCCCCCTTAACTGAGCTCCGTGATTGCAGTTGGACGAACATGTTGGCGCAGCTTATATGGCGCTGGCTGTCGTCCCTCACTAAATGTTGGACACCATCCATACACTCTTAGTGACACCGTTTGTTCCCATACTGTGCTCGCAATTCTCTCTAAATTTCAGCTGGTTTATCTCTCTCCTTTACAAGAAATTTGATTATATACCGCTGCTCCACAGTTACAGACACACTATACTCTCTGCCACGATAGCTGGAACTGCTATTCGTGCGTCAAATATGTTATTCCGAGCGAGAAAAATTAAAGAAGGGTAATGTTCAAGTCCTCCACAAGTTTGATTGATCGTGCTACACTTCTTCAGAGATTTGTTATGAAGAAAATTCTCTCTCAGCCTTGTATACCAAATGGTTTTTCAGGCATCAAGCGGGCGAGAGAATGGAAGAGGACAGCTCAGCCAGACCTCGGTTCCAAATGGACGGTCATTTTCGCAAGCTACCGCAAAGCTCCCTGCCAGATCGGTTGCCCCCACGCCCACAAGGTCAGTGACCCCTGCCAGCAGAAAACCTCCAACACCAACATTGAGGAACCATTCGACACCTGTCCCAGCGTCGAAGCCACCCGAACGATCGGCAAAGGTGGGAGTCTTGTTCACTTACTTGGCTCCAAGGGGGGTCCAGCAGTCGATTTTGGGCTCGTTTTTGCGATCATGGGGTGTGTTAAGGCTGCTTCACACGTCTGCATTTGAGTTTCACCAAGTGCCTGCATTCTACTACTCACGACGAGAAAACATACTGGCACACATGAAAATAAATTTTATTCATAAGGTTGTTTTATTTAAAAAATTTTAGCGGGCTCTAGTCGCCCTGAGGGCACAAGTTGCGCTCCATTTCAGGTGGAAGCCGATTTATGTTTACGTAAACCTTCTCCACTTTGGTTACTTCCCCCAAAAAATCGTTAGATACAGGCACACTGGTGTCATCTATGGGTAGCTTCAAAACTGTGTGTACTATATTTCTTAAATTTTTTACAGATTTTTTTATTGTGGGCTTTGAATAATCTTGACAATGTTACAAGCAACCTTTTCTGATAGCTAGCATTTAGGTTTGATTTTGCAAATACTGCAAAACTCCCAATCTAGTTATGTGCAGAATCCAAATGTGTTCTACATTCTTAGAAACGAGGTAGTAAGAAGATGGTAAACGCAGCAGTTACCGCCAGTTTATGGCCGTTACTACCTTTTTACTAGCTGTCTGCCACCCCAAATATGCTACAGGCAGTCAATGCGGTTGTCACTAGCCAAGAACGTCGGGATATTTATCATTAATTACTATATTTGTGGATAACTTTCTGCGGTTACGCAGTTAAAGCTTGTGGGTCGCCTGTCAATATCGCCCGATCAGGCCGAGTTCCATTTGCCCCGAGGAAGCCACACAGGGAGCGCTATCATGAAGAAAGGTTTTATCTATACTCAAGGTGTGAGTCTGATGCTGAGGAGGGCCAAGGCTGTCGTGTGGTTCGGGTCTTCCGTTGGAGTGGCTCTCGGCTAGATCAGTCAGTAGAGCACGAGACTCTTAACCTCGGCGTTCTGGGTTCGGGCCCCACGTTGGGCGCCAGTTATGCGGGTCGCCTGTCCAATATCGCCCGATCAGGCAGAGTTCCATTTGCCCCGAGGAAGCCACACAAGGAGCGCTATCATGAAGAAAGGTTTTATCTATACTCTAGGTGTGAGTCTGATGCTGAGGAGGGCCAAGGCTGCCATGTGGTTCGGGTCTTCCGTTGGAGTGGCTCTCGGCTAGATCAGTCAGTAGAGCACGAGACTCTTAACCTCGGCGGTCTGGGTTCGGGCCCCACGTTGGGCGCCAGTTATGCGGGTCGCCTGTCCAATATCGCCCGATCAGGCAGAGTTCCATTCGCCCCGAGGAAGCCACACAAGGAGCGCTATCATGAAGAAAGGTTTTATCTATACTCTAGGTGTGAGTCTGATGCTGAGGAGGGCCAAGGCTGCCATGTGGTTCGGGTCTTCCGTTGGAGTGGCTCTCGGCTAGATCAGTCAGTAGAGCACGAGACTCTTAACCTCGGCGGTCTGGGTTCGGGCCCCACGTTGGGCGCCAGTTATGCGGGTCGCCTGTCCAATATCGCCCGATCAGGCAGAGTTCCATTCGCCCCGAGGAAGCCACACAAGGAGCGCTATCATGAAGAAAGGTTTTATCTATACTCTAGGTGTGAGTCTGATGCTGAGGAGGGCCAAGGCTGCCATGTGGTTCGGGTCTTCCGTTGGAGTGGCTCTCGGCTAGATCAGTCAGTAGAGCACGAGACTCTTAACCTCGGCGGTCTGGGTTCGGGCCCCACGTTGGGCGCCAGTTATGTGGGTCGCCTGTCCAATATCGCCCGATCAGGCAGAGTTCCATTCGCTTCGAGGAAGCCACACAAGGAGCGCTATCATGAAGAAAGGTTTTATCTATACTCAAGGTGAGAGTCTGATGCTGAGGAGGGCCAAGGCTGCCTTGTGGTCCGGGTCTTCTGTTGGAGTGGCTGCTCGGCTAGCTCAGTCAGTAGAGTACGAGACTCTTAACCTTGGGGTCTTGGGTTCGGGCCCCATGTTGGGCGCCAGTTATGTGGGTCGCCTGTCCAATATCGCCCGATCAGGCCGAGTTCCATTCGCCCCGAGGAAACCGTAGAGGGAGCGCTGTCGTGGAGAAATGCTTTATCGATACTCAATGTGTGAGTCGGATGCTGTGGGGGGGCCAAGGCTGCCTTGTGGTCCAGGTCTTCCGTTGGGGTGGCTGTTATGGCACCGGCTCTTCTGTTCGTCTCTGCTCTTGGAACTGTCTTTCTGTGTGCTCGCCCTGCCACGAGCCTCCTTTCTCTTCTTCCCTCACGTGCCGTCCCTCCACGTGCCGTGCGGCTCATTGTCCCCCATAAGCTATGGGCGAATGGGCGCTCAATTACCTTGAACGCCGCTCAAAGCTGCGCATGAGCTCGCTTCTTCTTAAATGCCACAGAAAGTTCTCCACGAAACAGTGTTGCTGCAAAGAAGAGAGAAAAAAAAAAAAAAAAAAAGCATGGTTTAAGATGCGCAGGGAAGCAAGTACTTATATGGGACTGTTGCAAATAATTACATTGTGAATGGTTTCATTTTACTGGCAGATTCATCCCTTCGAGCATTCAATATCAATTTTGAGGAATGACATTTTGTTCCAAACGCTTCTCTTCACGCACCCTACGGGATGTGAACGCAACGCCAATGCCTAACAACTTCGTTGCGACTACTGTAAGTTTTCAGGACTGATCAATTTTTAAAATATTTTTCGATACAGAAATTCAGAAACCCGAGATACTATCGCAATACATTTGTATCGCAATATTTTCCAGCTCTGCTAAGAGGTTAGTAACATATGTGATAAGCAGCTACTAATTCCTATGGTCAACCTTTTTTCTAAAAGTGCAGGGCTACCCGGTAAATAGCATCAGCGTGCCAGTTGTAAGCTGTCAGAAGTGGTTAAAATCATCGTAATTGCACGAAATATTTACAGCGAGCTTCACCAGACTCCCTTGGAAGGTTCACGCAGCATTGTGGAAGTTTCGTCCAATTCCCACTCACGAATCTACGGTTTGTCCGTGAAACCGAGTAGCTAGGCAGCTGCATGGTTTCTGCTTGAAAATCTCTCTGCCTTTGAATTATATATATATATCTTTTCTTCTTTTTCCTCTTGACGCATCTGCCCACATTCTCTGCCTTTTGAGACCTGCCCAGTTGACGAGCTGCCCTACAAGAACAACACCCAGTTGACCTGCTTTTGGTTTCATTCTTTGACCCATTTTTAACCGTGGCTGTTCCTTGTAGGCGGTGACTGTAAACAAGTCAATTGCCGTTTCCTTCTTTACCCAGGCATGTTTTTCCTTGAATTAGCGGCAGTTCTGAGAATCAAATGGTTTTGGTATCTCGTGTCATTGCAGGAGGCAATGTCTTAACGATCCTTAATTGTTCTGCCTGCCTACCTGCCTGCAAAGATATTTTTTTCTCGTTCATTCTGGCACTTAATGGCTTGGAAAGCTTTTCTTTTTTTTGTACAGAAAGTAACCCACAGAAAAGAGCTGTACTTGCGCTGAAAAAATTTTGCGTTTCTACAATCTGATTTTGAGCTTGTCGGCATAGATGAATGCCAGGACATCGTACATGGTGGAGTAACATCTCTTTGTTTTCATTGCTTAAACAAACTGTATTTGTCTCTCAAAGTAGCCTAGGTTGCGTTGTGAGGACTACGGCCCGGCGTCGGCCAGGCGAGGCGTAAGGCGATGAGGCGAGGGCGGGGCCAAACAATCGAATAAAGGTTTATTAACTAGCAATAATTAAGAAAAGGTACGAGGCGCTAACGCGCCACATGGCTCGGTCGCGCCAAAACAGAGAGCAGGCAGGAACTCTTGTTCAGCCAGGCTTGACGGTAAGGATTAAAAGAGTGGGCCGTGGTAGGTGGCGCTTGTAGCTTGCTCAGAACGTACAGGTGCAACTTGCAGGTCAGCAGAAGCCACCAAAGTTGTAGCTGAAGTAATTTTAGGAAAATTTTGGTTTCGGCTTTAATGGTACATAGCATACATAACAATGAAATTCCGTCTTGTTCGAATGCTTGCCTCATTCATTTTGGAGAGATTGCCATGGTTAAAAGAAAAGAATGTTTGTTGGCAGCACCTCACATTCAAACCAAAACTCTAGAGGGAGAGGTTCGGCATCATGATACCTTCCTTCTTTCTTTGTCTATAAAATATATTTTCTTTTCCTTTTATTTTTTATTAATTCCTTGCCAAATTTTGTATTTGGTTCAGATGTAGTCTGATATGGGCCGAAGTGGCAGATTGAGCCGTGTCCTCGAGCAATCCTTGACATCCTGCCAAAACCGCCAACGCTTTCCATATCACGGCAGCTGGTAGAGGAGTTTTGCATGATCAGTCAACAACACATTTAGTTGTTTTTTTTGGAATTTTTGGGGGGTCACTTATTTACTGCAAATAAAGGTTATCTGGATGTCTGTCACTGCCGAGGTCTGAAACAGTTTTGTGGCGGCACGTTTTCTCGTCGGTGGCCAGAAGTGGTTGCAGCGCTGTTGGTCACAGTCAAACGCTCGTGTGTAAGCCAGCTGTAATCTGCCACAAGCTCATGCCCACCAACTTTTCCTACCTCTCCTTTCTGTCATCTTTCCAGAAACAACCTGTCCTTCCGGCGTCGACTCCAAAACGACCCGCAGTTGTTGCCAACGTAGCCCGTCCCGCATCTGTGTCTCGGACGAGTGCGCCTCCGCCTGCGTCTAAACCTCAAACCCCCAAGGCACCTCCCCCCGAGCTGCGGCCCCTGGGTCCGAACCAGGAGCGGTGCGACGTGTGCAGCCGTGGCTTCGACAAGGACCGCATCGAGAAGCACCGCTCCATCTGCAAAAAGGCGGCGGCCAAGAAGGTGAAGGTGTTCGACGCCACCAAGATGCGTACCAAGGGCACGGAAGCCGAGGCCTTCGTCAAGAGGGGACTTCACAACAAAGCTGTCCCGGTGAGTTGGCACTGTATTTTTGTTTAGTTCATATCTGCTATAGCGCCTTCGTCGGACGGCAGTCAGCACGGCTGGTGGCCAAGGGCAGGCCTAACCACCGAGCGGTTGGCCATAATTAAGTGCTGCATCGGAGTTTGGCAAGGCACTCGGAGATTTGGGATCGGGTCCAATGATTATGGCCACGGGCGGTCTTAGAGTTGCGAAATTTCCACATTAGACTCGCCACCTGTCAAACCAAACTTCATTTTCCGGTCAGCTATCGGGGTGTCTAGCGACTGGAAAAGCCGGGAATTGTCAGGGAAATTTTAATTACCGGGAAAAGTCAGGGAATTGTCGGGGATATTGTCAAGAAGCGAGCCCACTCAGGGAAAATGAGCCGGAAACGCCATCGAGTGCCCTGAACAAAGACTTGAGAACTTGGGAGCAGAAAAATAGGCAATAAATTCTGCTTAGAGCAGAGCGCGGGCTCTGCTCACCCGATGTAGAGTGTGCTACCCGATGCAAAGGGAACTGCCGACAAATCTAGTCCAAGCTTTGATTGGATTGGATTGAGGGGACGACACTATGCTTGATCCAGTTAGAGCTACTAGATTTAGTAACATATGGGAAAGCCGCAGACCCCAATCCAATCCAAGCATTAAGCCAAAAGTATCTGAAAGTGTGCGTCTGGCGGCCTTGCTGCCATTCGGTTATTGACGTGTGTGGTTGAGCGTCGCGTTTTCATTGTGTTTCCAAAAGTGGCCTCTTCACTGACGATGTCGGCAGCAAGAAAGTGCTTGTTTAATCCGGACTGTACGAACCCGAATATTTCTAAATATGCAAGTTGGATTAAGCCTGTGCAAAATGATGCTTACAGTGCTCAATGCCTTGTGTTGTAATGGTCTTATATATTTCACCTTCATCTACAGTGGTCAGGGAATTTCACCTGAAATTGTCGGGGAAAACCTGAAAAAGTCGGGGAATTTCAAAATAATAATTTGCTAGACACCCTGGCTATACTTCGTTTCGCCTTGCTATGCACCACAGCAGACGCTACGAGTCATTATGGCCGATCAGGTCTGCCTGCATGACGCGACTTCAAACTCTGCACGTAGCTCTACCCAATCAGAAGGTCACGTGACACGCTCCGAGCTATGGATTGGCTGTGGTGGCTCATGGTATCCGTTGTAGTGCAATATGACATCAAGCTGATATAGACAGGGAGGTTGAGCCCGGATTGTGTTTGCACCTCTGCTTTGCCGACCACTCGCACAGATAGGGTCTGCCACGTGGTTGATGCCGGGTTGCTGTCACACGATAGGAATGTCATATTGATAAACCCAAATGAACTGTAGTGTCCTTTAGCAGATTCTGCCAACAAGTCTGGCAACAATTAAGGGGAAGGAAAGACGCTCAGTTTTCTAGTGAAAGACCCGTGGTTTGCAAATCATGGGGTCCCGAGATGACTTTTTCGCTGCCGGAGTACATTGTAACGCGAGCCCGCTGGGACGATGCAGAATCTTTGCTATTTTGAATCAATATAAATTATTTTGCCGTAGAATCTTTTGGAAACGATCGAACTGAATCAAAAAGGGCATACTGCGGCAAGCAGGCAGACTGATTGGCCTCCGCTCCCACGTTCCTACAGGTGAAGAAGTCGACGTGGCGAGCCAAGCACGAGGAGTTTCTCAACGCCGTGCGGCAGGCCAGGCTGGTTCAAATGCACCTGGCCGCGGGCGGAAAGCTGTCCGATCTTCCGCCACCGCCTCCCTCGGAGAACCCGGACTACGTTCAGTGCCCGTCCTGCGGCCGCAAGTTCAACGAGACCGCAGCGGAGCGGCATATTTCGCGCTGCAAGCAGACGCCGGCAGCTCCGCGAGCGAGACCCTCTGCTTTTGGGGCTCGCAAGTAGAGGCATGTCTGCCTCGCTTTGAAAAGTCTACGAGCGTTGGATGGATGTGCGAAGGAACCAAGCACAGTTGTTTATGCACGCACACTGGTGCATTCATTACAGGATGAACATATTAGCATTGTCGTCTTCGAGCAGCGACGCTCCCAGTCTCGAGGATGCAGCCCTGTGGATGATGCTGACAGCTTTACGAAAGGTTTAAAGAAGCTATTGAATGCAATTCCGGATGAAGAAAATTGAAGAACACAATGAAAGTGGACAAGCAAACTATTTTGTGATCTCTTTTATTTCTTTTTTTGGGCAAACTTTGTTTTAATATTTTATCTTGGCAGCATTTGTACTTGTTTTGCATTTGTCTCATCTAGATTTTATATGGTAAAACTCCAGCTTGTTGTCTTTCAAGATCTTTTCAACATTGAATGATGCATGCTTGCTTGAAGAGTGATTAACTCTATCTTGGCTTTTTGGCATTCAACTTGCTTTTTTGTTTTAAAGTCTTTTTTTTTTTTACTGGTTTTGTTGATTTGCAGTTATTCTGCTCGGTGAGTTCATGCTGTTTATGTGTGAGCTGTTTTAATGGTTTATTGATTGAGACCGGTGCTCGTCAGAACTGAATAAAACAGTTATTTTGTAAAAATCTTCAAAGCTGCCTTTCTATAAAAAAAAAAAAAAAAAAGTTATGCAACTTGTTTTCTGGGCACAAAGTAAAAGTTGTACAAATAAATCTTTTTATGGAAGAATAGTATGTTTTCAACGGAAGAATAAGTGATGGATAAAAACTGGTGTTCCAGCAAAAGCAATTAGTTTTTTAACCGCTAAAATAAATGATGCATCGCCGAGCGTCCGGCCTCCTCCCAAACGTAGCGCTAGTGGTCCCAACCAGATGCCAAAGTTTCGGAACTAACTTATCTTGTTCAAAAATTTTTTCTGATAATTTAATAGGAAAATTGGGCCCGCCCTTGGTAACTGGCATCGTTGAGCCCCATGTATTTGAGGCTGCCGTGGGCTGCCACTGTTCTATCGAAAATTTAAAGAAATTGACTTGTGAATAAGATAATGGTTAGTTCTGAAACTTTGGTACCTGGTTTGGACCGCTAGTGCTACGTTTTGCGAAGATTGAGCATTGGACGATGCATAGTTCATCTTCGCACTAAAAACCCTGTACAGTTTTTTTTAACGCAATGGCATTTTTTAGGTACTGTGCCCACTTTTCGCGATACGGTACTAGCCTCGACTGTGCCGAACGCATGCGGACACCGTCCTAGAGGTCCGAGAGGTGGTCCTAGAAGTCTTCGACGTTGTCCTCTAGGACGTCATCCTAAGGTTGTTCTTCACGTACCCCAGGACGTCATCCTACACATTCTTGAGATCGCCCTAGAGGTGGCATTGTCGTAAAGGTCCTAGGTGGCATCTCTGATGTCCTAGAGGTAGGCTATACGTAGAAGTCTTGTAAACTTGTTACTTGGGTAATTGCTTAGCTTGGGCGCAAGTGAATTTGTGTGTACCGCCGCTTCGTGTGTGCGCGAGTTTATCTGCTTGCGTCGCAGCCATGAGTGATTGCTTCGTAGCTTGGGCGCGAATGTGAATGTGCGTACTGACACTCCGTGTAAGCGTGGCGTGGATTTATATCTGCTTGCTGGGACAACCCTAGGGCGATCTCAAGAACGACGTCCTAGAGGATGACGTCTAGAATGACCTCTAGGGCGATCTCAAGAATGGCGTCTAGGACGACGTCCTAGGGGACAAAGTCAAAGACTGTGTCTAGAATGACCTCCGACGGTCTCAAGGATGATGTCCGCATACTAGTGGAAGCCTAATTATCGATGGTAAAAAAACTATAGATAGTTGACCATCGTGGAACTATTGATAGTATAATTTCGATAGTTGACTATCGTGAAATTATTGCTATTATACTATCAATGGTTGACTATCATGAAACGAGATAATATACTATCGATAGTATACTTCCAATCGATAGTCAACTATTGTGAAACCATCGATAACATACTATCGATGCTCGACTATCGTGAATGTATCGATGGCGAACTAACATAAAGCTATTGATTGTATTTTATTAGTTGACGAAGAACGTCGAGAGTCTATCAAGAAAATGTCGTGGAGCTCGGAGAAAAACAACTGCATTTAGGGACTTGTGAATGATTATTGAGGAATAATCTAAAACCGATTGAAAAATAGAAAAACAGCAGAAATCCTGCTTAGAAACTATTGACAATAAACTATAGAAAAACTGGATTTTATACTGCCAAGAACTATGAATAGAAAACATCAATATTTTTTATAGGTTGTGAAATTTTTCCTTAAGAAAAAAAAAAAACAATGCAGTCCTCTTCAGTATAGCCTAGGAAGACTACACGTCAAATTTGTCTAAATGTTTCTTGAACGGTCTGACAAACTTGGCAACTCGCTAAGTTGCTGAAATCGGCTGACTCGAGCGGGCGAATTCAGGCGCAGCCAACAGCGCAGTCACGGCTACGGCGTGGCGTAGCCAACATTGAGCTAAACGTCATCACCATGGGCCCCTTTTGCTTGTTCTTACTTCTCCGGGCAAGCGTAACGGGTGACGTCAGCAACGTTCCTTCTCGGCGCTCAGCTGTGTTCACGTGATTGGCGTAACGCGCCTACGCAGCGCGCTTCTCGGGAGCCGTCCGGCCGCCCCGCCGTTACCGCCGTCGTCGTCTGACTGTTTGTGATAGTTTCGTCCACTATGGACACTACGTGCACAGGGTTACGCCGCAGTTGTACAGACGTCGTTGAATGTCGTAGACATCAAAACGTGATGAAGAGTGCAGTGCAGACGACACTTGCGCCTGCACTCTTAAAAAAAAGCAGTACTTCGTCCTTTTAAGGAGTAATTGGTGTTACTGAGATTTACCTTCTGAAGTGGCACCCTTTTGTGACTATTTTGCCACCTAATTAACAATTTCGCCTCAGCCCTAAGGACTCATGTCCTTAAGGGATTAACTATGGCCCTTTAAAGTCCCGTATTTTACGAAGAGGGAGTAATTTTACCACCCCATGAAGATTAGTAATGACCCTTTTGAGGGTAAATTTAATTAGGGAGTGACTTCACTCTGTTTTGAAGGCACTTTTGACAACCTGAGGAAGAAAATTTGTAGTTGCAAGGGACGAATTGTGCTCCCTTAATGGATCAACTGTGATCCCTAGAGGGAGTTTGCCACCCTATGGGGATTAATAATGTCCCCTTTGAGGTAAATTTGTGAATTAGGGTGTAACATTCCTCCAGTTTGAAGGTCGTTTTGACACTTTCGGGGAGAAAATTTATAGTTTCAAGGGAGTAACATTCCTCCGTTTTGAGTTCAGTTTTAGGCTTCTTGAGGAATGAAATGTAGTGAATAAAAAGCAACTTTTGAGGGCCAAGTTTGAGAATGTGCACTGCGCACCTGCCTCTATAAAAGACACAGCACTAAGTTTCAGAAGGGTTGTCTGTTCCGTAAGGTCGCACTGTGTCTTTGAGGGACATGGTGTGTGATGCCAAACTGCTCCTCCCTACCAATTGTTGCCATGCCTGTGGGGAATGGAAACATGCATTCCAGAGAGCGCCTTGAGGAACATTGTAGTATTTCAATATTTTCATTTAAGTAGTTCTCGCCACACTAACCAGATGGCGCCACTGTTACACCATTGCGCCGTGTTATCAGGGTTGCGTCCCCGTGGCACTCAACCCCACGTTGTTGACCGTTAAATAAATAGTTACAATTCAACAACCAACTTCGCCGGACGTCTCTCTCTCTCCGTCCGGGGCTCCCGCGCCCGGCCCGCCGTTCACCTCTTCGGCATGTAAGACCCCTTGTTTTCCGCAGGCCCACGCAGGCCCTGCTCTTCTTTATTTTCACGGGTGTCCGCATTTTCTTTAATACAACATTTTTGGCGACGAGGAATTACTACAAACATCATGCCGGCTGTGACATCCTACGTGCAGTTTTATGAAAAGGGGTCAAACAATGTGTTGATAAAATAACACCACTTACTCTCTAAATATATGTATTCTGAAATCCAAACCACAACAGTGGAAAGTGAAATAAAGAATGACATCACTGGAATGCATACACAAATAACCTGGTGTACAAAAGTATTTGTTACAAAACTAAAATGATTGTTTATGAATTCGGCCTGTAAATTCAGTCAGAGATGAAGTGACTAGAATGCCCAATTTCAATGTCATTCCACTTATCCCCTGATCATACCACAACTGTTTAAACACACGAACAGTGAACGAAGAAAAGCGGCAAGTTCTTCTTTGATTCTGTTTACTGCAACATGGAGACATTTCATTTCCCAATGACGTGTTCTATGAACAGCATCGAGGTGACCTGGTAACTGCACCCGATCACCACAGATAAGAAAAGAAGCGCAAGCCTGTGTTTCTACTTTTCTTGGCTGCACAGTGCTGCCAAAGGTATAGAGTTAAAAAAAAAAGACAAACAGAACAAAACATTCTGCTTTGTGTCGCTGGAGACTTATCGTATACAATGGGGACAAAGGTGAATCTTTGGGTCCTTTCTGTGTTTTCCGACCATGCACCGAAAAGTCCGTACACCGAAAAGTCCGTGCACCAAAATGCCCCGCACCAGAACGTCCGTGCACCGAAATGCCCGTGCACCGAAATGTCCGTGCACCGAAAAGTCCTACACCGAAACGTCCTACACCGAAATGTCCCAGACCCCGATCAAAGATATGTGGGCCCGGCAACACTGATGGACAGCATTGGCACGTGGCGTGCGACGTCAAGTCTGATCAGGGCTGCCAACCGGAGGGATAATTCCCGAATTAAGGTAATATTCAGGTCTAAATGGGAAAAAAGGGAAATCTTGCTAGTTTGAGGGCAATTTTTGGGCACCGTATATATCTGGAAATTTATAAGGGAATTTTTTTTTCTCGTTATAACATCCAATTTAAGTGGCTTTTGCTGTGCATTGGGGTTATTCCCTCCGTCCGTTCGGTGGTTTGTTGTCCGATCATCTGGCAACACTGAGGAGCACTCGAACAACTTTTTTCGGCAAAATCAGTTTTCATCGCCCTCGTGAAAACTATATGAAGGCAGAGACCAACCAACTCTATCAGCTCCTGAGAGCGCTGCTGCGCCTTCTCGAAAAAGAAAGCTTGAGTACACGAAGAAACACTGCGATGTCTGGAGAAACGCACTTACCATGTCCAAGATACAGACTTATCATGACGAAATAGTGCTTACTGAGTGTCGTGTTCCGTGTGTTCGAGTTTGAGAACTCTAGCTTGTGTTCCACCTTTTATTTTGGACTATTATAAATAAAAAAAAAGCGCTAAAAAGTTATTGAAGCAGTTCCTTGTTCTGGTGACGTGCATAACATCTAGGGTGACCACCCGTCCCGCGACTCGCGAGACTGTCCCGCATTGAGAGCGCGTGTCCCGCGTCCCGCAAGAAATACCAAAATCTTTAAGATGTCTCGCATTTGACATTGTCGTAGCATTCACTACGCAAATTATGGCGCTTTCAAAGAACGGGCCACGGGGTAGCGCGGAGGTCGCTGATAAACATGTGAATATCGATGGTATGCCATTTTCTATACAAGCACTGCGGGAAGCGACCGTCGTTCTTGCAGGAAAAAAACGCACGTGTGCCGTTGTGCTTCTCCCCTTGATGGCAAAATATTGCGAGCGGAAATTGCTCGCTAAAAAAAGTTGAAAAATAAACTATTGTAAATATTTGCAAATCATACTGTGTCATGCGAAAGAGTTGTTTTGGAAAGCTTTTTTTTTTTTTTTTTAGTCTCACAAGGGTCGAAAAAACAGCAACATAAGGTTCTAATGTTGTGTAAGAGCATGATAGTATAAGAGTAAGTATCGATAGGAAACAATAAGCCGAAAAAGATTTACGATTTCTTATTTCCCTTTCATGCATTTTGGTCTGCTGCAGTCAATTTTTATGCTTTCAACTTAGACACCCATAATGAAATATTTACCATTACAATTACACAAAAATATGGCACTGTGAATGAAAATTATTTCAGCTTAATTGCCGCCACACAATTTTCAGGTGTATAATATGCTTTCGGAGAGTACAGGATATCGGGGTGCGCGTGGTGGTCTCTTTTTAATTTTTTTTTCTTGAGTTATGAACCCCCCCCCCCCCCCCCCCCCCCCCCGAAAATAATTCGTGGCTACGCCATGCTGCCCGTGCAGTCAGTGCAGTGGTCCGTGATATGGGAGGACACGTCTCGCTTCATCATCTCATCAAGCTACGCTGCATTTTCTAGTCCACTATAATCAAGCGGCGCCCGCGAGTGACTTCGCAAACATAATAGCGGTCCGAATCGGGGGTCAACGTTCCAGAACTGACCGTTACCTTAATCAGAACTGTTATGAGTGATTTTCTGAAATTTTGAATGGAAAAATGGCGGCCGACGAAACGGTCCAAAGCTGGCCCCATTTTCCCATTGGAATTTTCAGAAAATCACATATAACTTTTGAATAAGATAACTTAGCTATGAAACTATGGCATATACTTTTGACAGCAAGCGCTACCTTTGGGCGGAGGATGAACGTTCGGTGATGCGGAATTTAATTGAACAAAACAAAACATTTTATTTATTTATTTATTGTGGGAGGGGTCGCCAGGAACCAATAGCTAAACCAAGCTCAAGTTTGTGGGACCGTTTCTCTTAATTGATATGGCGCAGTAGGCAAAAAAAATCGTAGAAAAATGTATAATAAAAGTTGATAAACTTAATTAAAAAAAAAGAAAAAAAAATGTACCGAGCTTGCCAGGATTCGAACCTGGAATCTTCTGATCCGTAGTCAGACGCGTTATCCGTTGCGCCACAAGCCCACGGAGAAGCGCTGCGGTCCGTACAGTAGAGGTACGCGACGCGTAGTTGACGTCGCCATTTTTGTTTGAGCGCTTGATTTGAAAGAACGTATTACCTCACGCAATACCGGATGGATTACTGTACACGTACGCGGTGCAAGAGGCCCACTTTTCTTTTTGTCGGGGGCAGGGGGCCTCCACGGCAGAGTAAGGGTAATGCCGGCTAGGTGAAAGCGGCAGGGAGGAGCTTTATTGAACCTAAAGCAAATGTCGACTGGAGCTCTGTGCCGTCCGTCCCGTTTTCACCCCGCTCCTGGGTTACCATGTCAGGAGCTTTAGTTGTTCCGCCTCTTGCGTGAGTTTTATACCTAGAGCTCCGAACCAGATATCAAAAGTTATAAGTGATTTTGTGAAATTTTCAATTGGAAATTAGAGTTCATATTTGCCCGTCCGTGTATTATAACTATAAGAAGACCATCGACCGTCATCTTCCGCTTATCGAAAATTTAAGAAAAAAGCTTATAACTTTTGAATAGGATAACGGTTGTTGCAGAAACGTTGGTGTCTGGTTCGGACCTCTAGCGCTATATTTGAACGGAGAATGAGCCTTCCTTAATGTATAACTCATTTTTGCAATTAAAAAAAAGAATATAGGGGGTTTTGGGGGGGGGGGGGGGGGGGGGGGGTGCATTTTGTGCAAAAGTAAACGGAGGGCAATGATAGGCGTTCTCGGGGTTCTTCATTAGGGGGAGCCAAGTTTCCCGTGCGCCGACATCTTGAGTCCCGAGTGAAAGATCGCGAAAGAGCGCGACCAATTTACGATAAGGAAAGAGGAACATTTAAAACAGCTTTAGAAAGCCTGTCTTGTCTGTTTGTCTTAAATGTTCCTCTTTCCTTATCGTAAATTAATAACCAACACGCTCAACCATCTACAGCGCGACCAATTTACGATAAGGAAAGAGGAACATTTAAAACAGCTTTAGAAAGCCTGTCTTGTCTGTTTGTCTTAAATGTTCCTCTTTCCTTATCGTAAATTAATAACCAACACGCTCAACCATCTACAGCGCGACCAACGAGGTAGAGCGCGACAGAACGGATAGATGGATGGTGTTAGGGAGTTTTCGTAGACCGCGCTGCCCCCTCCGCTAAGCGTTCCGCAACGAAGAGGTTGCTACTGCGCCTGCGCGCCGATAGCCTTGGCTGTGGTGTTCCCGCTATCGTAGCGGGTTGCGGAGGGCCTTGCGGGACGGCGAAAACGATCTACGAAAACTCCCTAACAGCTATGCCGTTAGTAACGGGCGGCAGTTTGCGCCACCTAGCCTAACATATCGTCATCCTTTTTTTTTTTTTAATCTGTATAAATTTTGTTTTAACACAACCCTCCCCCCCCCTTTTTTTTTAAACGTTCCATTGCTTATTTTTACCTGTATTTTTACCCTTCCCTAGATCTTTTCCACTAATCTTCCAATCTCCTCTTGGTTACCGGAACTCGTCTTTATTTATTTCCCGTGGTTAGTCTCCTCATCCATTCGTCCATGCATGTCTGCGAATCCCCAGTGCCCCCTCCAAATCCGTAGTCATCCCCCCAAGAGGATGGGACGAAGCCCCGTGTACCTTAAAATTACATGTTCTATAGATTCCCTTTCGCGGTTGCATATGTGACATATAGTGACTATTTCTTGGTATTTAGTCCTATATGTTCTCGTTCTTAGCACCCCCGTTCTAGCTTCAAACAGCAATGAGCTCCCCAATGAATTATCATACAACTGTTCCTTCTTTATTTCTTGTTTTTGTGCCCTGTATATTGTTAAGCAGATTTCCCCTGCATTCTCTCTTCCCACAATTTCCTCTCAGTTTCCTTTACTCCCTTTTCTATTGATATGCTCTGATGGGCCCCATCGCTTTGAATGCATTTAGATCTCAGCTTGCGGGTTCGGCTTGTCCACTTATTGTTTAGACTTCTTATTTATAGACACTTGTACACTTTCGCTGCCCAACGTGTATCCTCAATTTCAGCTAGTCTTTGTTCAAATTTTACTTTACTGATCGCTTCTCTATACTAGAAAGATGCCCAACCCATATCCCCCTGTACTCCCTCATTTGGTGTATTCCGATTTGCTCCCAATGCCGACCTACCCACACTCCTGGTGTATCTCTAAACTTGCCTGGACTTCTGACCTCATACACAATACCGGATTCCCAAATGACAGTCCTGGCACCATAACTCCCTTAGATACACCCGTAACGACTTCCTATCTATTATAGTTCCAGAGTGCGCTGTGTTTCATAATAGCTGAATCTCGTTTCCCCTGTAATATCTTCATGTTCTTTTAGGTATACTTTCTTCCCTCACTTAACCAACTCCCAGATATTTGTACGTTTCTACGTGTTCTATGTCCTGTATCTTCAGGGGTCCACCGTCTCGTCATTAAAAACTATTATACCCGACTTGTCCCTACTGAATTTTAGGCCTAAACTGTCCCCTTCCCTGCTCCAAATCCTAATCAGTTACTGTATTCTCTCACGACTTTCTGATACGAGTACAATATCGTCTGTATGCATTAACCCTGGCAATCCTTGATTTACTTCGTCCTTTCTCCTCCCTTGCGTTCCCCTTTGGCCCGGTTGCATTCCATCCATCGATATCCATAGGGTTCATAAAAATGCAGGGGGACAGGAACATAGTAGACAGTTTTAGTTGACCGTACGCTATAGCATTGCGTACGCAAGGAGATTGCGGGTCGTGAGTGCGCATGCGCAGAACGCAATAGAAGGGCTAGCGTATTGCGTACGGACGCAACGCTGGGGATTTTGCGTTGCTGGGTAGCGGGCCTTGCGGGACGCTCTCGAGAGATCTCGGACCCGACGAGAGCGCCAGTTTCAAGATGGCGGTTGCCTAGACTGGCGCAGCAAGGGCGACGTGGTGTTTTTGAAGTTCTGTGTTACGTGAGATTGCGTGGTGTTCATCTCGGCGATTCTTTCTGGGACCTACCGCGGGCGAATCAGATCGCCCTGCAGCTGATGGAGTGCACAGTGGAAATGTTCGCCGCTCGCAGTGTGCGTCGACGCTGCGATCTGCTCAACGCCCTAGTTCATCGCCGACGGACGAACGACTCTAAAAGAAATCGCCAAAGTTCTTGCGATGCACTGGACATCAGGGTCATGAATTTCATTCCGCGATAGCATTGATAAAAGGTGCCGTTTCCACGGGACGACTGACGGAGGTTCCGTGATCGAATTTGGCTACGTACTCGTACTCGTAGCATCTGTACCCCGCAGAAAAGCGCGCTTGACGAGGCAGCTGTGGCTTGGTTTAATCTGAAATAAAATTATTAGACACTTTTTCTTTTTTAATATTTCTTTCCAGGAGCATGGTTGCGCTATGAGCACGCGAGATTCTACGGCTCTAGCAAATTTAACCAAGATCATGCGCGGTATTCACTCGAAAACGTAACGCACAACTAAATTCGGTCCGAACAGGTCATTTTTAGCGTACGCTATATACTATTGCGTACTTAAGATCCAGCAACGCTATACTAAAACTGTCTAATAAAGTGGGAGGAGACCGAGGAGCAATTAGAAAGCGAAAACTTTGCAGTGTATGGATTAGCAGAAACACATCTGAGGGATATGGAACAACCACCACTGCCTCTTATTCCATACTTTCGGAGTAGGATGTCGTGTTTTATAGAATCAAAAACCTTCCTGTCACCACCACAACCTCAGTATGTTTGCCACTCGGGCGGGTCAGAGAGCCACCAACAGTGGCGTCATGCACAGGCGTTGTCTCGTAAAAAATAAAAAAAAAAAAATAATTATGAGTGGGCGGTAAGGAAGAACCAAAGCAAGAAGAAACCAACACGGAGGGTCAAAAACAGAGCCGCTTTATTGGCTATCACACACAACTTTGAGATCGAAGGCGGCACAAAACCGCAGCAAAGAGCTTTTTTCTTTCTTTTAAATGTTATGTATACATAGGAAGAGGGACAGACAAAAAAAAAAAAATACTCAAGATCATGTATTTTTGGCCCCGACGCCCCTTTGGTCCATAATCTGTGAGCAGGACGCCTCGAGACCATGGAAAGAAAAAGAATGCCGTACGCTTACGAGTATGACCTTAAAAAAAAAAAAAAAAAAAGATTGAGACATTAGTCCATATTGTATGTATGTAATATGGATGTCTTCTGTCAAAAAGTTCAAATTGCTGTAGCACACGCACGCACACTGTATCTCTTTCCCGGTCAAGGCCAGCACTGTTCCTTCAAAGATGACGCTGGACATAGTTTCCTAACCCGCTGGCAGTGATAAATTTAAGGCACAAGACTGACAAGAATCCTACGTAGGGCACAGTCGCTGCACAAAGAGAACCGGAACGCCCGAATGCACTTCATCGCACATGTGAACACAACTGGGTGACGGCATGTAACATGTGTACATTATGTGCTAAGGAAGCATAAAACTCCCTAAAAAAAAAAATCAAGGCTTTTCTGGTTGCCACCCAACTGAAAGGATTCAGCTGTATCCATCCGTGCACCCACCTAACAAAAAAGTGCCGACTTGTTCTGGTTTGTTCTGTCCACGACTGTACGCCATAGCGAAGGTGTTCCACACTGGTTACTCAACCAGACACTGAAAATATGGCTTAAGGGCCACTTCAAAGATTTTTGTTTTCTTATCTCATTCCTCCAGAGGAAGAATGAGATGTAATGTAATTTAAATGCATGTCATTCCTTTCAGCCTAATACTATGGATATTAAAATACTGTATTGCTGGATAAAGAAAAAAAAAATACTGCAATCAATGGCCCTATTTTCTGCCTTGCAAACCGGGCATACACACTTGATCTTCTGCAAGGCAGAAAATCTGTTTTTTCGCTCTCCCGAATCCTGGGGAGAAAGAGAAAATATTTCTACGTCCAGTTAACTTAAAATAAATGCGAGCCAGAGGAAACACGCCCATGTCTCGCAAAAGGTGCATGAACCTTTACGTAATGCTGTGTACCAGGCTTTTTGTAAAGATTAATTGAGATCTATATAAGTCATCGTCAACATTACTTATGTCCGTCAGTTTCCGCAGTGAGGGAAAAATCGTTATAAGTGGCCCTTCCAACACATTTCGGAACCTTATTAAAAAACATTCTCAAAAGGCACTCGTTGAGAACTCCCACACCGGGAGTCTATAAATGGCAGACGACGCAGCTGAGCATACGTTAGAACCTGTCGTAGCCAACAGCACGCAGAAAAACACACACAAAAAATGATTTGTTTTTTCTTCAAACGTTGCTGTAACAAAAATAATGCACATGCTTCTATTAAAAAAGAAAAGTTTCATTTACGTTTGATTTTGAAGATGGCGACAACTCCAGAGCTGTCGGCAACAGTGTCCGTTTCTTCGACTGGTTGAAACGAATCATAAAAAAAGAGAAATCACACTTTTCCCCAATTTTTTTTTGTCACAAACATTAATCATGCTTATAACTTTACTGGGTCGAAAAACAAACACCGTCTCTGCATGTACCACTACCATGATTCCTGCTCAGGTAGTAGTAAACACTTGATCAATACATGCTTCATACACCAAGGCTGCTTCATAATAGCAAATGGTGTAACCCAGCTTTAAGCTGTTGATTCTCTTATATTTAAGTTCATTTATGTAAACCTGAATAGTTTCTTTGGACAAACTCGGATAAAAGCCTGAGCCTCCAGTGTAGCCAGCATCAATTGACCAAGTGTTCAGTTTTGTCATAGGGTTATACGAAGTTTGAGCTTAGCCATACAAAAATATAAGTTGCACTTTTTGTTTTTAATGTCAAGGTTAAAAATGAGATATATAAAAAAGCTTTGTCACGAGATCTATCCGCCAATCCAAAACACTTAATCAATACATGCTCTATCAGCCAAATTCACTTGGTACATCATAGATGTGATTGCTGTACTCGCATTCAGCTCATAAGCTCTAAGCTGTTGCTCGTTCAAAGTTTAGTTTCCTTCATCTGGACCTGGCATTGTTATGAAAACGTTGCTTTGGACAAACTTAATGGAAACCTGTGACCCCAGTGTGGTCAGCATGTATTCACCAAGTGTTTAGTTTCGTCGGGGACACATATCAAGCTCGCCGAGCTTAACCATAAAAAAAAAATAGGTAGAAACTTTCGTTTTCGACGACCTCGGAGTTAAGAATAATATAAAAAAATTCACAATAAAAAAATTTAAAAAAAACTTTGTCACGAGATCTGTTTATCTGTCAATCTAATGGTGACGTCATCAGCAGGCTTTGCTCTGAAGGCCGAGCCAATCCAATCCAGCGTCCCCGGTAAAGTCCTAGCAGACGGAGCACCTGCCCTGCCGTCCGTCGTCTGCTAGTCGGATCTCAACGTGAGCCCCAGCCCGCACCGCCGTCCCGTGGGAGCACTCCGCGACAAGGCGAAACTGTCGCTGATGTTGCGTAGTTGCACGCCGACCAGGGCCCAGCTCAGGCGTCGCGTGGAGGCGCGCTGAAAGCGCTCTTCGACGCGAGGCACCAGGTCCGGAATGGTGGCCTCTTCGAGCAGTCTCAGAAGCAGACTGCCAGGGCCTGCGGGCAAAAACAAAGAAAACTGCAAACGACTACACACAAAGTACACTGCGATCGGCAGCTGTCGCTGAAAGATGTGCTTCGGGAGATTTGCTACGCCAGAGAACCTTCCAAAAAAACCCCAAGAGCGGAGGCAGAGAAAGCAGTAGCTCGTTTTGCCATTGATGGCGTGGTTGTGCGAGGTGGGACAGTGATAGAGCGACAGCGCGGCGGCGTTATCACCCTCTCCTCGCAATCACATGGGTGTTTGCGTACGAACACCGCATGATTACACTAAAAAAAAATCTTGCCAGTTTTAATGGATGTCTGATCTCCATTGTGGATGCGGAATAGCCTGTGGTCTTTAACGAGCATCGCGCAGTAGTGACGATCCGACCACACACCGGTACGATGCACACCCAGGCCAAAACGGGCAGGGGTGAGGCCTTCAACCCGGGATCCCTTGATTCTGCAGCGCGAGCTCCAGGTGCTCCAAGTTGCGGTCGCACACCGATTTCTCCCGGTCAAACGGAGGTCCCTGACACAGTGGAGGTTCTAACAATACGAGGGGAGGGGGAGGAGATTGGCCACTTTGCAGGAGAAAATATAATATCCGAATAAATATAAAAGAAATGAGGATAGGACAGATAACAGCCAAGAAGGCATAATTAAGAACCGAAGTGTGATTATAACCTAGTTGATTATTAGCGCCTTTCCTGATAGTCGGAGAGCGAGGGTGGCAGGGGAGGCGGGCACCGCCTATTGGAAAAGAAAGGGAGGGAATCGCTGCCGTTTGTGAAAAATAAGGAAAAGATTAAATGGCATCACCACGAAAGAGAAGGGGAGCACCGCCTCATCTCGAAAAACCAGAAGAAACCAAGAAATCAACAAAACTAAATTAAACTAAGCGAAAAGCAAACAAAAATAGGAAAGGGGGGGGGGGGGGGGCATTGCCGCCTACTGTAAAGACGGGCGTGTGCTTGCGCTGGGAACCACAGAAAGAAGAAAAAGCCTGTGGCGCAGATGGCCATCACAGAGAAGAACAGAGCGACACTCAGGTATTATAACTGGCACCGTCACCACCCCAGCCAGATAAAAGAAACGAGAAAGGGCAAGAACGAGGAAAAAAAAAGTATGTATTCGCTACATAATAAAGAATAAAGTGAAAGCTCGGTTACAATAAGTAGAAGCGAAGATGGGGAGGAGACAGAACACGAAACGTAACGAGAAAAAAAATCGAAAAATTAAACAAATCGCCGTTTGCAAGAGGCACCACTGCGGTACGCACCCGTCTCCGCTTTATGTAGCCTTTATGGCAGAGGCAAGCAAAAGAGGGGAGGGGAGTAGAAGTGCAACGAAGAAGGCGTGCTGCTTTCTGTAGCCTCACGCCACGAAATGTAAACGTTACCTCCGTTTGTTCAAAACAAGATGTGACGGAGGAGGCGAAAGGGGAGGTTGCAAGGAGGAATTCGTTTTATGTAGCACCTTGCCACGATATGTGACTGCCGTTAGTGACAGAGGAGAGGGAGTGAGAGAGGAGGAAAGCGGGAGCCGAAGCTGCGCGGGGGGGTCAAGGGTCGTCCCGGGGACGGGGTGAGCGCCCGTCGGCCGTCCACAGCAAGCCCCCCCTCGGCTCCCTCCCTCCCCCCCTCCAGCCGGGCCCGGGCGGCTTCTACCGGGGCCTTCGGGGCGGTGGGGCGCGCGGAAGGGGACTCGTCGACGTCGTCGTCGCTGGCGGCGGCTGAGGGCAGCGGCCTTGGGGCCGCCTGCCAGCGAGAGCGACACGCGGAAGAGCGCACAAGGACGACGCCACCAACGCCCGCCGCCCGCCGGACTGACCACGCCAGCGCAGCGCCCGCGAGAGCGCCGACACATGGGCGCATCGTCGCGCCTGTCCGCCGACGAGGCTGACCATTGATTTTAACGAAGAAAAAATATGTGTGTGTATACATATCAACGGGAGAACTGTAACGTTATCAGCTTGGACAAGTAACCCTTGACCAGTAATCTTAACGAAAAGAACCATAACACTGTCAGCTTGGACAGATGACCAGTCATTTTTATTAAAGAAAGATGCATACAGGACAGCACAATACTGTCAGCTCAGTCAAATGATCACTTAATGAAGGGCGTCCGCCCGAAACGTCGTGTATACCTTCCTGTCCACGTATTTGTTTCGAGTAGCACAAACATATATTTGCGATTTCGTGACTATAAAACAGTCAGCTTGGACAGATAGCCGCGTTCCATGACCAGTAATATTAATAACTAAATAAAGATACATGGACGACTCCAACACCATCAGCTTGGAGGGTAGCTGTATCTCAAGACCACTATTTAAAAAAAAAAAAAAATTAAAACTAAAGAAAGATATCCCTATAAGAGGACCACGACACTGTCAGCTTAACCGGACAGCTAGCCTTGTCTTATAACCAGTCATTTTAACAAAAACTGAGAAAATATCAACAGAGCAAGCGTAACACTGTCAGCTTGGACAACGAGCTGTGTTCCATGACCAGTAATTTTAACGAAAACTAAAGAAAATGTTCACCAATACAACCATAACACTGTAAGCTTGGACAGCTAGGTGTGTCCCATGACCAGTAATTTTAACGAACCCCAAGGAAAAATATCAAGAGGACAATCACAACGCTGTCAGCTGAGACAACTAGTTGTGTCCCCGACTGTTTTTATTATTTACTTTGCTGTGCATTGTTTTCGTTGTGTAAGTGTGTATAAAAGAACCTAAGGACGGACAATCCCAGTCACCCGCGACCGAGATAATAGGCCGGTACCGCGAAGTTGCTATTCAAGTTTTTTTTTTTTTGTTTTATTAATATCAAACCTTGATTATAGTTTTCGTATCTGCAGGTCAAACAGACCTTGTTTGTTGTCATACGTGACTTGCATTGACGTCACTTTAGCAGTCATTGTGGTGGTTTTGTTGCCGAATACGTGCCTTCCACGGGATACATTTTGCACACCAAATTCTCCCTTTTCTTTGCAAGGATAAAACGGAATGACCGATGACGGTGCGTGCAAGCCACGAATAGCCACCTTTTGAACCAAGTTTGAAACGTTGTCAGTTCCCCTTTTCTCTGTCTCTTACGTTGTATGTTCTTTTCTTTCTTTTTTTCGCACGAGAGTTAGCAAGGAACGTTTGCGAACATACGCTAACGTAAAAAATCGCCAGAATCGAAAAAAAAAAAAATCTGTAACTAGGCGAGCTGGTTCAATAGGGAGTATTCACTGGACGCCATATTTGTGGGTGCTGTTTAGAGCGCATGCTCGGAACGAGCTCACATCAATAGGCTGCTAAGACCGGCACTCTTGATGGTGCGGAACACACGTTGCAAAAGAATTGTGGAAGCTCGCCATCAGCACGCGCTCAGTATTCGCGCACACAGCTATGGCCGCCAGTGAATACTCCCTATACTGACATGGTAACCCTGGAGCAGCGGAAAAGAAGGGACGTAGGACAGACACAAAACTGTAAATGTGTCTGTCCTACGTCCCTTCTTTCTCCCGGCCCCAGGTTCACCATGTCGAAACATCAGGGCCGGCTTGCTAGAACAGCGTCTCAGCCGAGACTGGGTCAAAGAAAGCACTGCCAAGGCTGGGGCACGCTAGCGTCTTGAGAGCTCGTGCGCTGGCTTTGGCAGAGCTTTCTTTCACCCAGTCTCAGCTGAGACGCTGTTTCTAGCAAGCCGGCCCTGTCCTTTGTTAAAGATGAGTTTGGTTAAAGAGCCAAACAGATTTTTGTTTGTTACACGGTGACGTCCTGCCTAGGCTGATGGTGGCAACGTTACTAGATTAGCTCTGTTGTTCCAAAGAGTCTACACGGTGAAACGCCATGTGGGCGCTGTGCTTCGAAACATACGTATTCCATAGAACACACCGCAGTTGCCATAGAGCAGTCGTCCGCAAAACGGTGGCGCGTCGAACGACTGGAGGAGGCTTTTGTGGGGGATGGAGTAGTGCTCCTGGAAGCAGCGTCTACGGACAGTTCCATAACTGAACTAATCCATTAACGCTGGATGGTGGTTGTAGATGACTTGCAGTAACCTCACACCAACGGCCATCGTGGTGTCCTTGCTGCAGAGTGCATAGCTTATATAGCAGACATTTTGTACTAACAAATTTTGTTCTTGACGGCAAGAACGAGTAAGAATGACCACCAGCTGCGATGACGTGATGTGCAAGCCGCGTATCTTTGCAAAGTTTGAATCCAAAGCATCGATTAATTCCCCTCTACCGTCTAGAGCACGCAGAAGGCCGAACGTCGTAAACAGTCCCTTTGCGCGCTGACATTTTAGAACTCAACGGCGAAATGACATCAAGAAAAAAAAAAAATGTGTGGGTGGGTGAAGCGGGGGGGAGGGTAAGGGGGGTAGCAAATTCACACTCCTGGCTCACTCAGTGCGCCAAGCGTGTGCATTTGAATGATGCAATTCTAGCTAGTCGCCTGAAAGCGAACTTGTTTGCAGAGAGCATAGAAATACATCTCGTTTAAGTTTATTCTCCAAGATATATCACTCTAACCCAAAACTTCGCCATGCGCTGTTTTTGGAACCATATTACATATCACCACGCATTGATCACGAACTAAAAGTTGGAAACCCCCGCTAAACGTCCACTTTCAATGTTTTTTTTGTTTAAAAAGCTTTATAGACTGGAATCGCCTTCCCATAGTTATTGCCGTCATTACTGGCATTCATGATTCAGTGTTTCAATTGCTAACTTCTTACACAATGCGACGTAATGTTTTTTTTTTTTTTTTTTTCAATTAATTGTTTTTAACGTGTTGTATATTAAACCACTCCTCTCTGCAAATCCCTCGGGCCCCGAGAAAAAAAAAAATGGAATTAAGTACACCATTCTGATGTTTACAATCCACAGTCCAGCATGGGTTCTCTGCAGTCCAGCACGACCTGAAGCCGGCTCTGACGTAATGAAGCTGCGTTTGGCATGCAGCACAATGGGCACGGTGCTCTACGGTGTGTGACCTCACGTGCATCTCGCGAATCACGCGAGACGGTTAATAATTTTGCCCCAACGAGGAAACATTACGTTCTCGTCCTCGTGTTTGCAGGCGGGACCGTGTGGCTCCATATGCGTAATGCTTAGGCATTTAATTTCGTTTTTTTTTTTTTTTTTCGAAAATTAAGTGTAGGTTTGGATAGAAGTTCCGAACCTGCACGCAAAGCAACAGTCTAAACCGAAACTCGTCGGAACCGCTGAATGAGCAGGATACCGACAACTTTCGGGAGTGGGCAAGCGGACAGCACCACAGCTTGTCATTATAATGCAATTAAATGCAAAGGTGCAAGCGAGCTGCGCAAGAATGACGAAAATAATCCTTGGAGAAGGGGAACAAACACAAATCTCCAAACACAGCTAGGTGACTGGTGCGCGACCGAAAAAATCCGCCTGGTCCGGGTATCGAACCCGGGACCTCTCCACTTCCAGAGGAGCGCTCCACCAACTGAGCTAGCGGTTAGCTTGTTCGCCTAACAAGAAAGAGACTGTCCGAACACTCACCGGCGTCGCTCTCAAAAGGCGTCGGCGACAGGGGCAGCGACCGTCGCGGAGACGTCTGGGTCGTGGCATCCACGGCTTCGGGCCAGGGCGACCGCCAGTCCGGTGATGACCTTCTCGGTATCGGGATAGCCGACGAACGCTGAGGCGGCGACGACGACGACGGCGGCGTATCGTCCCCGACGATGACGACAGTGTCTTCGGCGTTGGCTTCCTCCTCCTGAGGCCAGTCGAATACGAACGCTGCGCGGCCAGAGGTGAAGAAGGCCGGCGATGGCTCGTAGCCAGAGTCCGCATCCGATGGCATCGGCTCGCTGTGCAGCGGCGGGGGCCAGCGCAGACGCGCATCGTCAACCTCGTCTTCCATCCCTGTGGAACGCCGAAACGCCGGGCAAAAAGACATCTGAATATGCACTCGCTAAACCTAAACGTCCGAAGTGACACGACCCCGGCAATAACAACAACAACACGGTCGTCGCGAGACACAACACAGAATCCACATGGAGCGCCGATGGCGCCACCCCTGTTATCAGCGGGGACCGCACACTTCCTTCCGAATCGAACCACAAGCTTTTTCAGCTCACGTGCGCGCTCGAGAACGGAGCGCACGCGCTCGCTTCTGTTTACAAACAAATGCTGTTGGTACTCACGGCTGGTCGCGGCGCTGGCAGCGTCGACTACATTCGTCGCCGATCGGGTCACCGCGAAAGAGCCCGCGCGATCGCGGTGTTGGCGGCGGTCGATGTCGTCCCGTCGGTCGCCCGGTCGTCCCCGCCAACTTTTGCGTGTCCCCGCAGGCAGGGGGCAAGCGAGCGCACGCCCGCCCGCGGAGAGGAAGCGGTCACGTGACACAACAGCGAGTCACGTGACGCGAGTCGCGAGCCAGCGCGGCGCCGTAAGTCACGTGACACCTTTCTCTCCCTCCCCGAGGCGTTCCCTCTCTTTTACTATTATTATTATTTTTGTTCTTCTTACCCCTTGGTGGGGGGGGGGGGGGGGGGGGGCTTGGCTTGCAGAAGAAGGAACTGGTTTTATGCGTCCGCGCGGCTGCGCAACGCTTCGAGCGCGGTGGGGGAACAAGACTCCAAGAAGAATAAAAGTGGACAGACGACGGATGGAAAGAAAAGCATAACTACATAAACCTGTATGGATAGACGGAAAGGAATAAAGAAAAACGAGGGAGGCAGGGTGGGTCGCTTGTTTCCGACTACAGCAGCGCCCGTCCCTCGCCTCGTTTGGTTTTCGTAGCGGTGAGGAGTGGAACTGATTTGCAGAAATGGCCCGGGGATATGGTACCTACCCGGGATAGAAAAAAAACTTTATTTTTCTTTTCCTTTCCGGCCCTTCTGCTTTTTTTAGGAGTCGCCCATTCGTCCCAGTGAAAAGAAGAAGCCTCTTTCGCAACGGGAAATAGTGGTATAACAGAACATCGATGAACTGAAAAATAAGAAAGACAAAACAAATGATTGGGTGGGGGGGGGGGGGGGGCAAAATCTTTGCGCAAGAGTAATCCGACGACGCTCTTGCTTCGTCGAACTGCGTGTGTGTGTCTATCGTGCGCGCAGCTTTTGTCTGCTGTACGCGAGCCAACTCGATGTAAGTAGAGGCGAGTCATCGAAAAACATTTATCGCGAGCGCGTAGAAGAAACGTGTGGAGGGAGGGGAGGCGAATTTTGCCGCTTCTTTATTCTCGGATGTCTCAGCTCCTCCCGGTTGTTTGATCGCCTATCGCCCGCGGAGAAAGCGCGCGCGCGCGCACAATTATTGCGTCACACCATTTGTTCTTCCCAACGCCGCTTCTTCCTTCCGATAGAAGAAGGGTGGTGCCGCAAGATATCGAATTATGCTACTTTCTTGGCCCTAGCCCTCCATTGTTTTTCCCCCCAACTTCCGTACTTCTTCGGTAAGCTTGGTACTTCGTGGTCTTCAGCAGCGTAAGTAGAACCATTGCAGTAATATGGGAAAGGGGCCAGGTACGCTACGGCAATCGACCGTTTTTTATAGCTGACGTCAGTTTCGAATTAAATGCCATAAATATCGAGTTGGAACCGCCGCGTGCACACATAAAGAGCTTGCAGGGACCTTCTCCCGGAAGAGTTCTGCGCGTGCGCGCGCTGTTTGCCGCCTAGCGACTGATTGCTGAACATTCTTTGGTGGGGCACGCATTCGCCGTTGGCTGCCGTCTTTGGGCTGAATAGTTCAGCTAGACATGATGCAAAGCCCTCAAGACTTAGGGGACAACACGTAAACGTCTCAAACATCACGCAACTGGATTTCTTTTCTTTTTTTTTTTTTTCTTTTTAGGAAGGTCATTACACGTTTACAAGACAAGGTCTAGCCTGCATTCACAATGAGCAATCCAGTCTGTCGCTTGCCTAACGCATCAAGAGTGGCAGCTGCCGAAATTCATTTTCTGGGATGTCGTTGTGGACGTCATCGCGCCATGCGGTGGTGAACAATGTTTATAGTGCAGAAGGTCAGCAGCAAGGCCACCATCATGACCGGTGACGTCAGTGCAGGCCCGTTTAATAAGTGCATCACGCGACACGCTCCAACCGGAAGCAACGGCGAAGACGAACTCATCTTGACAATTTCTAAGGCCAGCTCTACATCACCATTGCAGCAGAGATTACGAGAGCGAACTCCTTGGCTGTGTTCCAAATCTTACCCAAATGGATCCGAGTTACTCCGGCGGATCGTGTCACGTGACAGCACCGATTGAAAAACGCTGGACGCGGGTAGGGTTTAGAACGCCAAGGGTACAAAACCCTTACCCTGGAGTAAGATCGAGTAAATTTTGGAACACGGCCCTTGTTTTAGAACAAGGCGGAGTGTGCGCTGCACAGACGTCCATGCACGCGCCCCCTTTTGACTGCATAGCCGCAAAAAGTTGTCCACGAGGAATGCAGTTACTCCTTTTCCCGTAACTTACTACTGGGATGCACAAGGCCATTCCCCTGTTTCTTTATTTTTTCTGTGTCTAAAGCAACTGCGTGAGATATGCGTCGGCCGGTCCTTTTTGATGACTTCTCGGGAGCGGATGACCAGCAGCAGGAAACGCCTTCAAGAAACCTTGAAATTCCTGTCTTTCTTAAAAAAAAAAAAGAATTATGTCGTGCTTTGGTTTTTAGACAGCTGTCTAAATGAACGCACAACACAATTATTTAGAGAAGTAAGAATTTTAAGGTTTCTAGAAATTCCCGCTGGTCATACGTTCCCTAGAAGTCATCAAAGAGAGACGGCCGTCTGCAAAGAATCAATAACTCAAAACAAATAAAACAGCGGGGAAAAAAAAAAAAAAAGGCCGCAAGAAAAAAGTTGAGGACCCCACGGGAACACTGCGCTGACTATCGACAATCGTTTTCTTCCTTTTTTTTTTTTTTTTTAAGAAAACGCTGTTTGTCTTTTACATGTCCTTGTGTCCTTTGCACTGTTTTGTTTATTCTGATCATGCACCAACTCGCCCAACTACCCTTCTCTGGATCATGTGGGAAAGTAACAACGGGATCTTTTCAAACGTCAAATTTATTGTGCGGGGTTTTCGATAGCGTCAAGATGAGCATTTCGGCAAGTGCGGCATACGACTGCGAATTCGGAGCCCTTGGACGTGCACCGCGCAGCATTGATTACACACTCTGCTTCTCCAGATTGAAGCGAACCGTGCTGAGGATCCGAACGCAAGACCATACCTTTAGCTGCATGGCCAGGGAAAGTTAAGCGCCTAGCCTCACCAAATGTGTGACCCCCGACAAAGTAAAATAATTTTTGGCGACCCGCCAGCCTTCCGGAATATCGCTCGCTCATGTTCTCTTGTAACCAAGTTACCAACAACAAAAACAGATAATCAAAAAGAGGGAAAAGGGGGGGGGGGGGGGCATCACCAATGTGTATTTCGCTGCAGAACCCAGGGATGATTCGCGGATTTAATGGTTCAATACCCGACCCTTCCCGTTTCGATCTCGGTCAGACCACGTGATGCACGTCAAAGATCGCAGGCCCGTTTCGGTGTTTTGCGAGGACGCACGCATAGTGCAAAAATCCGAGCATCGCTGAAGATTGCCTTGCTTCGCCTGACCAGAGGAAAGGGGAGCAGTCTCTCGCGGTTGGTGGGGCGACGACGATCCTCGGAGGTGCATCACCCCCATGACCTCATGCGCCTCCGGGCACGAGGTGACGCACCACCAGAAGCACCGACCGCAAGTTTGTTTCGAACGGAACCGTCCGAAAATCTCGCTCTCCCCTTCTTCGCCGCCCCCCCTTCTCCTGCCTTTCTTCCATCTGCGCACCCCCGGAAAGCTTACACGTCTTTGTATCCTCTCTCCCACCTGCTTCGAACCAACTTGCTCGAAACGAAGCCGCTGTGACCGTCAGAGTTCTGAGTCACTTGTCGTCCACTGATTTATGGTGGCCTCACATCCTCAGATGGATGCTCGCGTCGCCGTGTGGTCTAGACCAGAGAAATACAATGGCTCTGGTCTATACACTGCACCAGCGTGGTGGCCGTGGTCATTAAAGGGTAGAAAGAGGCAAGTCTTTGATGGTAAGACAATAAACTATGGCGGAATATACGCTGGTCAGGTCTTCTTCAAAAACAACGTCAATTTCTGATTTATTATTATTATTTTTTTTAGGAAGGGGATAGTGTGGGCGAGGGGTATGCATTTGTGGGCTAACTTTGCAAAGTGAAAAAAAAAAAAAATTAATATTCACATGCAGTTGAAAAACGATGAATTAGTTACTCAGACCGCAAGGTATATCTGACCGGGTCTTAGCACCAACTCAAATAGTTCCGTGTCGTACCGCTTCCTTTTCGTGGCTGCTATTTGAGTGCCCACCGCGGGAGAAATTTCTGAATGCAACGTCAATTTGCAAGTTTAAAAAAAAAAAAAAAAAAAAAAAAAGGGGGTAGTGTGGGTGTGCCTCTGGGAGGAAGGGGGGTGCATTTGAGGATAGCTTTTCAAACTACTGAAGGAAACTTGCGTAATAATCAGACACAGTTAGAAACAAGCTACGAGTTACTCAGAGATATCAAATAACTGTTAGTAGAACTTTTTTTTTTCACCTTAATTAAAAGAAAAAGAAGGAATATTGAACCATATACACCAACTCATGTTTACAAACAAACCGGAGCGCCCCTAGCGGACGCCACCGGCGCCGCGCATGCGCGATGGGGGTGTGGGCAAAAAGCTCGCCGTCGCCCATAAACAAACCATTGAAATGCGATGTTGTCTGCCCGGTGTGAGTCCCCGCGCTCTTTTTCGCGTTGGAACTGTTGATTCTACGTTCTCCTAACGATGTCTGACTGCTTGAGCAGCGTCAGCGAAATTAACGAGTCTCGTTACACCGCAAAACTTCGCGGGAATAATGTGACATGCGGCGATTCATTCCGCGTGGACGCCGCAGAACGCACGCTAAAGCCTGATTCACATGATGAGATTTCGCTCGCAATTTTCAGTAGCGACGTCGCTCGGACTGCAAAAGCGTAAACCGTAGCTGAGATGGTCGACTTCGATTCTGAAAATCGCAAGCAGAATTGAACCAAGTCAATTAGGCATAGCAAGAGACGATGGTCACTGGTAACAATGATCAACATCTCCTTGTACTTACTGTTTACATCGAGCCTGCTTACCAACCTTCAAACTTAAGTCTTTTTAGGCCTGCACTTACTTCTTATAGCAAGTGCCGGGCCAATATTTGGTCTACGGGCCGGCGTCGTCTAAGAGAGCAGACGACAAGCATAAACGTTTGAAAGAGCAGACGACAGTTCGAACGATCGGGCGGCCGTTTGAACTTGAAGACGCACTGAACGTAGTCCGCAGGTGGTCCGTACAACTTGACGGTTTTCTGGCGTTCATGTTGAAACAAAACAAATAAATCTGATGACCACAAGTATCCGTGAATTTCACCCAAAGTGCTTCCCGCCTATGCAATCGTTATCCGACGGCGTCTGCTTTTCTCTTTTTACGGCACATATCCAGATTCTCGGACGAACCGAGCACGTAAAAACTGACCACCAAACCTTTCTCGACTGTTTTGGTACGGACCCAGTCCCGGCGTTTTGACGAGAAGGCAGGTTTTTGTCTGGTTCCTTTCAAAACAACGCAGGAACACACGTCTGGCATGGGGACTTCTGCCCACAGCCCCAGACCGGAAGTGCGACCGACGCGCCACCACCGCGCCGTGACGTCACAGAGATGAGTTCGTTTTCATTTCAACTCCTGATCGATACGAGTTTTTTCTCTCGAACTCTTCCCGAACAAACGTATACCAGCTAGTCATCCCTTCGTTGTAAATTACAGCGTCGCAACGCACGACCCACGGAGCATTTTAAAACCGGTGACCTTGAGGATAGGGGTCCGGCCCTCCCTCGCATCCCCACTGTCTTATTTGTCCTTCGAGAGAGCGGCTTCTGTGGCTCGCTTATCGCGATAATGGCAGCGCGCGAGAAGCCCCGTGTTTACAAACAAGCTCAGAAGAAGACCAGCGCCGCTTCTGTGTGTGTACTTTTGGCTGCAGGGCGCAGCGGCGACGACCCAATGCACGTGCTTAAACGGCGCACACGCACGTCGCTCAAACACAGGAGAACCGGTGTGGCCGTGTTGATCACGTGCTCTCCTATACTCTGTTTCACCTTATGTTGTACCGCAGCGAAGGCTAGAAGCGCGAGCTCATAGCGTTGGCAGCTGCCCTTGGTGCACGAGAGCTTGTGCCGCCGAGATGTGCCCCAGAGCAAGGAGCTCGCGCTTGTAGCCTTTCCTGCGGTACAACACAAGGTGAAACAGAGTATCGATAGATCACTTGGGAACACGAGAATACAAACACGTTCTCCCCCCGTTTTCTTGTTTTTAGGGAGCCGTGTCCTATAGACCATTTGCAATATTACCCAAGCATCAAGGAGAATGCAGGGATGGGTGTTCTACGCGCTACACGCGCACGCCTTCCCCGTATGAAAGATTCGAAGTAAATAACCAAAATAAAGCGCTGACGAACGCGCGTGCAAGATGCCTTTTGTTTTAGGTATTTGCTTTAGAAAAGTTACTACTGCTGAGGCCAGCACGTGCGGCGCGTGGAACACCAATCCCTGTATTCTCCTTGATGCTTGGGTAATATAGCAATAGGTCTATTGGCGACAGATGCCGTAATATGACCAAATTATTTCTTTGCGCGTGATGCGTTCGTTCTCTTCCGTCGTATCCACCAACTCAACTGCGTGACGTTCCTTTTGACAAAAGCGCCGCAAGACAAGGCCGTAAAGTAAGTAAGAGACACAGCATAAGCGCTACTTTCAACTGAACGTTTATTGAATCAACACAAACTATTCGTACGCCCCATCGGGCTTTTCAAGCAGGAATTGAAAATCTTAATCCGTTAAATGAACTGTCGGGGCACTTATGCATCCATCACCCCCTTGGATTCTGATATTGAATGACTCGTACAATTCTCTCGAAATCTTGTTTCTTAACTTCCCCAGTTTTATATATATATATATATATTTTTTTTCCAAGTTTAGGGGCACAAGGGCATCTATCACAATGAATAGGCAAATTGCCCGAGGGGGAATTCCTTACTGACAGCGCGTGCTCTCGTGCCCTGTCATTGACGCACCTGTTGTGCTAGGTGGCGCAATCTGCCGCCCGTTACCAAGGGTATAGCCATTACCATCCATCCATCCAACCGACCTACGTACCAACGAAACGTACGCCTGACTGTGACGTCACAGCACTGCGCACGCTCACACGCTTCACGGTAGTCTGGTTTCTGCGCACGAGCAGCGCCCACACCTGCTGCGGACAAACGCGCTGTCTTCCACCTGGCCAACTACAATTTTCACCAAAGCACGGTGGAAGCTCGGAGTCGTCCCGTCGCTAAACCAACACCGTTAAAGTTGCCAGTCCAATGTTCCTCTTAGCTCCATTATAGTAGAATTCATCGTACTGTCACCGTGATTGAGCACGTTGAACCAATGGCGGAAGGCCGACCATAAGCGACGCTTATGGTTGGCCTTCCGTCATGGTTTCTCCAGCGCGAGCTTCCCCGTCGGTAGCACTTCGGCATCTCTCCGAGCGTGCACGCGCGGCCGATGCACCGGAGTGCAACAAGCGCGTGCTGGATGCCGGGCACCCGACAAAGACGCCCCGTCGTTATCGTCGTCTGCCAGCGACTGTGCGTGTAGAAACCGTGGGAGAGGAGGAAAAGAGAGCGACGAGCTTTGGTTGGAACGATTAGTTGAGTGGGCAGACTCTACTCGCTGTTCGAACGCCTTCGAACATCAACGCGGACGCATTCGGCGAACGCGTTGAAATGCCCGCTCAAAGCGCGCGGAGTTCGCACTCTTGATACTTGCTGCTCCACGCTCAAACCTAAATTTGGTGCAGACGCGTGCCCGCTGTCCACAATGCGCGCGTGAAACGCCAGAAAAGCGCCACCACCGTGAACGGACGTCAAAGACAGGAGTTTGTGTCATTTTGTCCAGGCTCGCACATGGGACCATTTTAATCACGATAATTTTGACTGATACCTTTCATTGCCTTGCTTAAAACACACACAAACACACACACACACACACACACACACACACACACACACACACACACACACACACACACACACACAACACAAACACACACAAACACACAATGCCATTACACAATGCGTACCGTCCAGCAGACCGGCAAATTTAGAAACAAGAAAATATCGCCCTCCCCCTTTTAAAACAAACAAACAAATAAAAACACTTTTTTTGTGTGCAAAAGTTGAAAAGAACATCGCTTTTACCGACCGATGGGACGACGATAATAGAGCCTTGCAGACACTTCCTTCTTGCTTACATTAAACGCAAAAAAAAAAAAAATCGTTTTTTTTTGCGATGAAATAATAGACGTTGCTGCAGCGTTTAATTGATGAAAGTCAGGCCCTTATGTAAATACCAAACACTATTTCACACGCAGATGCCTCGAATCGACCGATCTGTCAATCGGTCAAACTTTCGACTGCCCCCGCGCACTAAACATGCGCCATCGACTTTCTAGGTCAATCGCCATTTCCTTTGTCCAATCTTTTCTTTCTTTTATTTTTCTCTTTTCCACGGGGAGGGGGGAGAAACGCGTGTTGTGCTGCCCTTTCTGTCAAACCTACTCACCCTATTTCCTTTTATTTGTAGTTTTTACTCCCTCCCTCCCCCTTCCCCTCCCCCTCAAACACGCACACCTCCCTCTTTCCCAGAGTATTTTTGTTTTTCTTCCAAAGGCACCCACCCCCCATACACACACCAGCTTTGGACAAGCACCTGTTTCGGGTCCCGTAGCAGCCTGGTAGCAGCAAGCGCCGACGTGTCTCGACAACAACGAGAGAGCGAAAATATAAAAAAAGAACGAAACAAATCGATGCAAAAAGGAAACACGAGAACGGAGCGCGCGTTTCCGATTCCCTCTGTGCGCGGAGACGAAAACCCACAAAGGCCAGCCACACGATCGGCAAGGAAACGCTCTCCGAAGAAAGAGAAAGAAACCTCTTGAGCGAAGCAGCAACAAAAACGACACAACAGCTGTATCGGCATCAGCTGAGCCTTCGGCGCCTATCCCCTATCCCTCCCCCCCCCCCCCCCCTCCCCCCTCTTCCGGACATGTCCGGACCTGCCTCTAGCAACGGGAAGACCTCTGAACGATCTGGGCAGGCCCACGCCTGCTCCGATTTTTGCGGTTCGCCTAGGAACCGCCAAGAATCCGTTGAACAGAGACTCGAAGACGCCGACTGGGGCGGCCAGGTCCTTCTTCTGCGCGGCTGGCAACCGCGACGGCTACGTCATTGTCTCTATGGCACCTTGTGCTGCCTGTCCTTGGGCTGCGGGTGGTTGCTGCTGAACAGGCTCAAGCCTTCCTGGCGGCTCAGGCTGCTGCTCACGCCGTGTCCTCTGCGGCGCGCCACGATGGTGACGCTGCACGATGAACGCGGGCGTTGGGTCGACGCGCAACCTGTGAACGTGAGGTCGCTGTCGTCGTCGTCGACGTCCGACTTTGGGGGCTTTCTGGTGTCCTTCTGCTACCGGGGGGTCACGTACGCCTGGGACGATCGCAAGGACGTCTTTGCCGTAAGCTACTCGGTCGCCTAGGGCGGCTACGCGCCTTTTTAAAGCTTACCACCCGGGCTAAAAATGCTTAGCCACCACGTTCCACAGCCTAGCAGACAAAGATGGCGACGCGCCATGCTCTCTCCTACTTTACCATAAACCACGGCAGACCCTGCGAGCCAGCTCAGCCAAGTCAAAACCGTAAACGTATTCGCGGAAGGAGGTTTTGGTATCGCCGCCTGGTGAATATTTTTCAAACCCAGAGTGAGGATACATCAACTTCCTCTGCTGGTGCAAGCACGTGCAATGGCAAGCTTCTATGTACTATGAAAATTAAAACAAAACCACGTGGGTAGCATGTGCACTACCCATAGTGAGGAAAACAGAAGCGCCCCTAGCGAGCTTCCCACCGCGAATACGCGACTTCGCGCCCCACGAGAAAGGTCACGTGGCACTGTATCTGATTGGTTGCGACGGCTCGTAGCGCCCACCGGGTTCCAAGCTTCCAACTTTAAAGAGCTCAGTTCTCGAGAACGACAATGATACCTTTGTAGCCCATCGCGCTTTTCTCAGCACGTACGAATAGGTGGCATATCTTCTTCGCTCTCATACGAAACACGGTTGGCTCCATGAGACAAGTGGTAGAGAGATTGCTCTCATCGCTATTGAGTAGACCTGCCTGGCCGGTCTACTCGATAGCGAAAACTGAATAAAATCATCATGTCGATCTTAAATGAAAACATAATGCTCCTGAGATCCTCGTCTGTGTCGCCCCCCACCAGCGGTGCTGCACCTTTCGCTGAGATAAATGAAAGTGTAACCAGAACAAACTGGGCTGTAAAAAAATATACCCAGGTGTACAGTAACATGGAATCTAGACCAGGCACGGTTAAACTTTAATTAACCACGTCAGCACTGTCTTTATGCGTTTTGAAACAAGCCTTCGAAGTTCGCAAAACAGCAAAAAAAAAAAAAAAAGGTATTATTTGAGTAAGATGACCCGCGAAATTTACGTCCATAAGAACAAAACCGTTCTAGAAAAACAACCTTTCTGGACTTCCTGAAACTCGCTTTACAAGGGGGACCGTCGTGGACATTCTGGGGAGGATTATTCCGAGTCAACATGTTCAAGGAGTCAAGAGATCGTTAAAATACCTTTTGACTCGTTGTGCCTATGGATCTCTTGACTCGATGGACCTCTCGATTCGTTGGGGCCTCTTACGAGCTGCGTTAGCCAATGTAGCGCTTCATGCGTGCCACGTGACCTCACGCTGCCCGCGAAGCGCCGCTCAACCGCAAGGTCACGTGAAAGGTTCCGAGCTACGGATCTTTTTTCACAAGGGGGCCGCCATCTTGAATTTCGCCACTTCCAATATGGGCGAAAACATCGCTTTGCCGTCGCCACGCCAATAGAATACATTTAGGATACATGCGTAACCTAAAGCCACAAATGAGCTGCGCTTAGAGCATCGGCACTCTGTTCCCCGACATTGTTGTGGGCGCCGCCATTTTGGGGCTTGTGCAGAGAGACGCAACTGCCGATCGTCATGATTCAAAAGTGTGACTTCTTCAGCATTAAATTCGGTGTTGGGAAGCTCATGTAATATTGCTTCGCTCCGTCGCTTAAACATTTCTGGAGGGCGGAAAAGCGTTTCCTGTGATTTCATATAAAGCTTCAGACAACTGGCAACAATGATTTTAAGCCACAATATGGACAAGTGTCGTTACTCGCGTTACTCTGAAGCGTATAGCTTATTTAGTGGCACTAGCGTAACCGTCACACATTCTCGTCTTGCCTCCCCCTATTTTTTATTTTTTTTTTTTATTTTTTACTGCTTGCAGGTCGAAACGTTTTATAATTTTTTCGTCGCTCATACCGGATGCGCCTTTTATAAGGTGGCTGGGGACGAGAGTACACGAAACACGTCTGAAGTAGAGTAACTGTATAGGGGAGCATATACAGTTACTCTAGTCTGAAGGCATGGGCGTACCAACCGGGGGGGGCAAGGGGGGCACTTGCCCCCCCAGTTTTCAGAGCGGGGGGGCAAGGCATGTGTTTTGCCCCCCTGAAACAGCCGCCACTGGGCAGGGCAAACACTGGCCGGCGGCGCCCGAGGACTGGCAGGCGATGGAAACCCGAGGATTGGCAGGCGAAACACTGGCAGGCGATACAAACACTAGCAACGGCGCTCACGCCGGATTGGCAGGTTTGTGGAGATAGGCGCTGCCGCCGTCAACATATGCAGTGGTTACAATGCGAGTTTCCGAAGCGGTAGCGTAACTTAGTTGTAAGATGTCTACCTCATACGTAGCAGACCACGGTTCTATCTACGCTTTGGACTTCTATTTTTTTTTTTTTTTGTTTTCGTCGAACATTTTGTATTGTGGAGGCATTTGGCGATATTTACATTATTATTTTTTTTTTACAATTAGCGCTGAAAGAAAAACGAATGTTGTGGACGCGCTGAACTAAATTGTATGGGACTCTCTTTACTGATGTGAATGGGGGATAGTGGGGCTTGGGTTGCCGGCTGCAAAGCGGCGTGTACGGGGGTATAAGGGGGGAGGGGGTTAACGCTCGTTGAGTGATATACGCGCCGTCCGAATTCGATATTTAAGTTTCCGCACGTTGCCGAACGGCCAATCCGGCGTGAGCGTCGGTGCTAGAGGGCCTATCACCTGCGCCGTAAAAGTTAGTGATGGACCGAATCTGCCGAACTTCAGATGCGGCAAATTTCCGCACATGCCGAAATTTAGAAGGCAAGTTCGACAAAGATTCGATAAAAATTCGGCAAATGTCTGCGCACGCGCACGAACGCGACGGGGCCATGGATCGCAAATGGACGCCGCGCAGTTGCGCGGTTACCATCGCTTTAGTACAACCAGCGGTTACGGCGAGGTCTGGAGTGGCACGGTAACTGGGCGTTCGTGAGCTTTTGCGAGTGTGGTTGTCTTCAATATTTTCTGCCTCAAGAACACAAGTCGACGAGTAATTTACGCGGCTCACTGCGAAAGTGACGGGCGGTGCATTCTGGATAACGTGATTTTCATTTGATCTTTCCATTCATGAAACGAGATAGTTGAAGCATTGACTGACAACTGGACAATTACGCTCAGTGCCCGCAGCCCACTGCCGTCAAACGGGAGAGTCACGAAGCTTGCCAGAATTAGGGCTGGGAAGTCGATCCAGTAATCTATCGATTAATCTACTAATGATTTAATCGTGATTAATTTTTAACCGGTTAATCGGTAAAATTTTGACGAAACTAAAACGGTTGAAAGTCAGCGCTATCACCACGCAGAGAGGACGAGTACATCTGTATGAAGAGCCAACTTAGGGCTAAATTTTAGCCTAAAGTAAGCTGTAGGGGCGAGATTAGTAACCTCAGACAATTGGATTAGCTTACACGTGTCCCGTCTAGTTCAACGCCGTTTGAGTGTCTGTTTAGCGCAGCGGAGGCAATTGTGAGCAATCAAGGAAGGTCGCTCTTGCCGGAGAATATCAACGAACCTATTTTCCTCGTGCAGATAAAGTAATGACCTGTGAGCGTGAGTGTCTTTGAACTGTTCTGAATTACACATGGAGGCCGATTCGAAATCCAGATGGTATATTCCGCCGTTTGTCACAAATTCAACAAAATCAAAAACCAATTTTCTTTTTTTATATACTTTGTATGAGAATGAACGAGGCCGATTAGTTGATTAATTAATCCATTGAAAGGTCGCGATTAATCGGGTTAAACGTTTTAATCGACGCCCAGCCCTAGCCAGAATGTATGGGATGCAGCTGGCATCCTCGTCATAATGGGATACATGTTTTCCCCCTTCTTTTTTCTTTTTACGCACTTTCTGTAGTGCGTATATTCTGTACATTTATTTGTCTGTTTGTTTTTTCACATGTGGTGGCGGGCTGGCAGGCGCTCTGAGTAAGGGTTTTCAGCTATCTGCCTAGCCCCGCACACCACCACATGGGCCCCTCCCAGTATGTGCAAATAAAATTATTATTTTTATTATAAAAGTCCTATCTTCGGCTTACAGGTAGTTTGTGCCAAAACAGAATAATATTGCGTTTTAGTTCGCATTATTTCGCGATTTTCATGTATCTGCATAAAACTAAACACAGAACTTTCATGCTCGACGTTGGATATCCGATATTCCTAACTCTCCCCATCTTCTTGAACGTCCGTGTGTGTCCTAACACCAGAAACCGGAATTTGAAAGGCTAAAAACGGCACGTTGCGAATATGGAACGCGCACTTTCTTGCCAAGCTGACGTCAAGTGGCTCAGATCGAAAAACATGCATATTTACAATATTGCTATCTCTTCAGGTGAAGGCTCAGCAACCGTTGCAATCGTATTCGCGCACGAAACGGCGACTTCCAGAGAAAGTAAGAACGTAGTGATTGCTTTTATTTTAAAAATGTAAACACACATCCAGGCCTGCGCTGATGAAGTCTTAAAATCAAAACTCTCGTAGCGTGATTCATGACTGCGGCGGCTGCTACCCAACCTCGTTGTCACGCCACTTTCTGGAAGCAGACACTAAAAATGCAAAAGTAAACACACAAAAGCGACACCGATACAATTATCTTGCAGAATATCACCTTATTTAGTAATAACTGTGTCAATAGGCACTACTAGTTGCTTTTAAGTTAAGAAGAAAAACAAACAAAAAAACGTAAACCTTTTACCAAATCTTTGTCGAATATTTGCCAAATCTATAGAAAAGTTCGGCAAAAGTTCGGCTCCGCCGAATCGGCGCCGAACTTTCGATTCGGCAAAAGTTCGGCCCATCACTAGTAAAATAGTAGAAATTTGCGACCGGAGGGGGGGGGGGGGGGGGGAGGGGAGGGGAGGGGGAGCGGGGGTTGTCTTGCCCCCCCACTCAAAAACAAGTTGGTACGCCACTGTCTGAAGGTGACCGCAGCGCCGCCTATGTCGCGTCCGTGACGCTCGAGGGCGCCTCACCGGTCTCGCAACGAGCGCCATGCTAGGGCGCGGCGACGCCAAGATGCAGTCT